TTCATTGAATGAACCCCTTCTTCCAGCCTCGTCCCGTCATTTCTACTCCACGTGTGTGATGTTGATCGCAGGGTGTATGTACTGGGTGATTCCAGTGTGCGGAAATTGCTCTGGTGCTTGTCCTTGCCCTTGCGTGCGTTGAATTCGGGCCGGGGCAGATTGCGTTGAACTTGCAAGCTGTGTTTTGTGAAAACCGTTTTCCAAGTACTTTTGCCTGCCATTATTACTAGTGCCACCCCATCTTTCCTTGTAACGTAGCTCCTTGTAACCGCACCATATAAAGAAACATTTTACCCATTGGCTCTATGTACTGAAGTTGGCGGAGTACATTGGCTGAGTGTTAAGATGCACAGTGTACATTCCCTAAATTGCTGCCCTGATGTTGCTTCAACCATGGATATGTTTGGTGCTGTGCCAAACATAACATGTATTTTTTGGGTCTAGCTTTGCCCAACCTGAAAAGCTCTGTAAGAGACATGGCAGGATATGCCCCTACTTATTATCAGAATTTAACATAACATCTATTGTGTGGTATTGATATAAACTCTTAACAAATCCCTGGTGTGTCCATGAAACCTTCAGGTGATTATTGCCCTTTCCCATCCAGACTCCAGAAATATGTTTCTCTAATGTCTGGAATACTGTTCGAATTGCACAAGCCATTTGTTTCTCATTTACCATGGATATTATTGGCATGGTTATGGTGCACATTTACCACCAATTCTTCTGCATGAGTAGCTGATGTTTCAGCAGATTAAAATGTTATCATGATAATATGTACAGAAAGGTCTCTGAAATTGTGAAATTCTGAGGCATATTGTTTTAAGTGAAGTGATTTTAAAATTCATGGCATAGTATCCTATAATAAGTTTGACTTACAAATATGCCAAGTTTAATCTATCAATGCCAATTTAAATTGGGTGTGGTGGGTTTTGTTTTACTGACTGACTCCCCATCCCCTGATAAAGGCAAATATCTGATTGCTTCAAGGTCTTGTATCAGCGATTGTCTGATACAGAAAGCAATCAACTTCTATTATTTGTGTGGATTGTTATCATCTTCTCTCAGTCATCTGTATCAGCAATTATTATTTAGGAATTGATATCAGCATGGTAATAAGTGCACCCTTGTATTCCATCATGCCAAATGTGTGGCAGGGTGTAAAAATACTGCATAAGAGTGTTTTCCCTTACTTATTTATCTCAAACAGGTAGTAGGGGCATTTCAAAGCAAGGCATCATCCTGTATTAGCCCTGTGGATCAGAATATTAGGCCAGCAATGCACAGTCACAACATGCATTTTTATAGAAACAATCATATATCTGGTGCTGCATTTGTTTGGAATGCTCTATGCATCCTATCAATACCAGAATAAGTGTAGTCAACCAGTCAATATACAGTTTGAATAGCTAAGTGCACCTCAGGCCCTGTTCATAAGAGACCTTTATATCTGAGGCAACCTGTGTTTTGATGTTAGGTGCAGACTTAAACATTGGCATGAAACTGTTTTAGTTGGTGTATTCTATTACAGTAGAAGTAACACTATGTACCTTGTCACATTTTATAATGTTTGCAGCATTGCATTGTATCAGTTCATTATGCTAGCATACAGTCATTTTGTATCATTGCAACTGAATAATGTATTCTGTTGTTATTGACTGGTGTTGGGTTTTCACAGATGCTGAAAATTGTGCTAAATTTGCAGCATATTAATCTAGTATCCTGCACTGCCTGTGCCACCAGGAGTTGCAGGCTTAAGGCTAAGTCTTTTGTTGCCAAAGTAGTAATTTAGATAGGTCAATTTGGGCATGCTTTGTAAAATTTCACCGGGCTACCATTTAAAACATTCAAACAAGTCCTTAATGCAGGCTTGTAGAGTGATGGCCAGAAAACAGAGATACTGGGATTAATTCCCCATGGTGCCTGCCCTTCCCACCAGGTTGAGACGCAGGTGACATCACATAGCTGGATCAGCTGAGTGCGTTGCAAAGTCCCAGTGATGATGATAGAGAGTGATGATTGATGGAGCTGAGTCAGGCCACCATAGCTGAGCCAGGTCAACTGAGCTGACTGCGACCTTGGTTCCAGATCCATGGCCCTGTTTGTGACTGCCGTGCAGACTTCAGAAACTGAGCACCTTGCCCGCCCTCTGTGACCCGTCAGGTGAAGCGATGGTTCGGCTCGCGGCCGCGGTGGCCCTGGTGGCGCTGGCGATGTTGGCGTGCGCGGATGGTCAGCGGAAGGCACCGACGGTGATGGTCGCCATACTGGTGCGCAACAAGGAGCCGTACCTGCCGTTCGTGCTCTCCCGACTGAGCGAGCTCCACTACCCGAAGTCACGGATGGCGCTCTGGCTGCGCAGCGACCACAACCAGGACCGCTCGCTGCAGGTGCTGGAGGCGTGGCTGGCCGAGTACGGCAGCAGCTACCGCAGCGTGGACGCCGTACTGAACGCCACGACGCCACCGCTGCGGTCGGACGAGACGAGCGCGATCCACCTGTCGCCGAGCCGCTACCGCGCCGTCATCACGCTGAAGGAGGAGGCGCTGGCGGCCGCCCGCAGGCTCTGGGCCGACTTCGTCTGGTTCCTGGACGCTGATGTCATCCTTCACGACAGCACGGTGCTGCAGCGACTGATTGACATGGAGAAGCCGCTGGTGGCACCCATGCTGCGCAGTCACGGCGCCTACTCCAACTTCTGGGCGGGGATGGATCAGGATTTCTACTACAAGCGCACTGAGCGCTACCCGGTCATCTACAAGCACAAGGAACAAGGCTGCTTTGCCGTGCCCATGATTCACACATGCGTGCTGGCCGATCTGCGGCTGGTTGGGTCTGACGGGCTGACGTTTGTTTACTCCAAGATGGCGGTGCCTCGCGGGCCCGAAAACGATGACGTCATCACGTTTGCGTTGTCAGCACGCCAGGCCGGCTTGGAGATGTACATCTGTAACCAGGAGGACTTTGGCCAGGTGCCGATACCGCTGGAGCCTCCCGAAGTCGTCAGCAAAGAGCGGCTTAACATCGTCAACATGAAGCTGGAGACGTTGCTGGAGTGGCCTCCGCTGCCGGTGGTGCCTGCGCTGCGTCGCTTCCTGCCACCGCCGGTCGAGAAGACCACGCTGGGCTTCGATCATGTGTACATGATCGGGCTGGCGAGGCGGCAGGATCGTCGGCAGCGCATGCTGGCCTCGTTTGATGAGCTCGGCATCGACGCTGAGGTGGTGGAGGCTGTGGACGGGCGCCAGCTCAATGACAGCTTCCTCTCCGAACGCGGCATCGAAATGCTGCCCGACTACCGCGACCCGATCAGGGACCGGCAGCTGACGTTCGGCGAGATCGGCTGTTTCCTCAGCCACCACGGCGTCTGGCAGGACGTGCTGGCCCAGGGCCACGAGCGCGTCATCGTGTTCGAGGACGACGTGCGCTTTCAGCCGTACTTCCACTACCAGCTGGAGCAGCTGATGGACGAGGTGGAAGCGCTGCGTCTCGACTGGGACCTCATCTACCTGGGCCGCAAGATCCTGCATAGCAACGAGCAGTGGGTGGAGGGCGCGCGCCGACTGGTGCGGCCCGACTACACGTACTGGACGCTGGCGTACGCGCTGACGCGCCGCGGCGCCGCCAAGCTGGTGCGCGAGCAGCCGCTGCGCAAGATGGTGGCCGTGGACGAGTACCTGCCGATCATGTTCGACCGGCACCCGAACGCGGTGTGGATGGACCACTTCCGCGAGCGCTCGCTGCTGGCGTTTTCGGCCAGCCCGCTGCTGGTCCACCCCATCAAGTACACGGGCGAGCCGGGCTACGTCAGCGACACGGAGGACGCCGTCACCATCGGCGCCTGCGTCGCCGGCTCCGTGGACCAGCACACGTGCTCGTAGCTAGCCGGACGGACGCGCGCCACGACCGGCGCGCACGGCCCGGGTGTCGGGGATCGCGGGTGGCGGCGGCGGCGGCGTCAGCGCCTTGAGCTTTTATACTGGCGTGACGTCGCAGTGCGTGAGATTCAAGCGGGGTTTTAGCTGTGTCTAACCGTGGCAACGTCAACCGCCGAAAATATCCGATGAAGGGTTCAATGTGCCACACCGGGGCTGATGAAGCGTTCAGTGTGCCACAGCGGGCCGCGCATCTGCCTGGGAAACCAATCGTTCGCTGTTTTTACTGGATCACCAGGTACTGAGCGTAGAATGGAAGTCATTTGATGGGAGTGCCTACTGGTGCTTTTCGTCTTGCCAGCATTTTTGTAAGTAAGTGATGCACTAAGTCATTTTAATGTAAGTGAGAGGCGGTTTTAGTCAACACTTCTGGGGCGCTTCCGGGGAATTCATATGAATCCGATCCTCAACCTTGTGCCATATGTGCTGCCATGCCTCCTGTGTTCCGCATAAGTGTCCGTGTGTTGCTGACACGGGATAATGGCCTGGAGGTTATGTAGTCTCGCGTAGTGTCGGATGCTAGATTCACGTAAAACGAACGTTTTCGCCGATCGCTGGCCTCGCCCTGCTCACGGGGTGCTGCGTAGAACATCGGTATCGTGTCAGTAACACTTCTTCGATATAAATATGTTCTGGTACGCTATCTGGTATTGTATTTGGGAGACAGAATTACTACCTTCCTCTGCCAACGAGCCTTTTGCGTGAATGTGTTGGCTTTTGCCTGGGAATGATCCCCGTGTTGTTTGCTAAACGTAAATAACTTTGATCGTGCTTTTATTGGAGCGCGGGGCATATTTCTTCGGATATATATATATATATATATATATATATATATATATATATATATATATATATACATGCGTGTGTGTGTGTCACCATGCAGCAAGTGTAATGTGTTGAACGATTTTTTATGCCGAATAGAAAAGTACATCAGCCTTTTCGTTTTAAATCAAAAGCCGAGACAGGGCGATCTCCTGCAGCAAGCGGCGCCTGGCTGCGCTACTCTCCCAACTCACCGACGAAACAGGTGACGGCGGTGAGCGTCGCCTGGTTGCGCTGCTCTCCCAACTCACGGACGGAACAGGTGACGGCGGTTAGCGGCGCCCGGCTGTGCTACTCTCCCAACTCACCGACGAAACAGGTGAGGGCGGTGAGCGACGCCTGGTTGCGCTACTCTCCCAACTCACCGACGAAACAGGTGAGAGCGGTGAGCGTCGTCTGGCTGCGCTACTCTCCCAACTCACGGACGAAACGGGTGAGGACGGTGAGCGGCGCCTGGCTGCGCTACGCCCCCCCCCCCCCCCCCCCAACTCACGGACGGAACAGGTGAGGGCGGTGAGCGTCGTCCGGCTGCGCCACACTCCCAACTCACAGACGAAACAGGTGAGAGCGGTTAGCGTCAACTGGCTGTGCTACTCTCCCAACTCACCAACGAAACAGATCAGAGGGATGATTGGCAGGCACCAGGCAGGTAGGCGGGTGGGGTTACCGCAAACGTTGGGAGGGAGGGGGAGGGGATGGGAGAAACAGCGAGGGTTTTTGTCCTCTGTTGAGACACGGAGATGGTGTGTAGTGAGGCATGGCGATGGCATGAAGTGCACTGCGATGGTATACGGTGAGGTACGGCGAGGGTGCTGTGTTTTGGGGCACGGCGACGGTGTCGCGTGGTGAGGCACGGCGATGGTGTATAGTGAGGCACGGCGATGGTGTATAGTGAGGCACGGCGATGGTGTATAGTGAGGCACGGCGATGGTGTATAGTGAGGCACGGCGATGGTGTATAGTGAGGCACGGCGATGGTGTATAGTGAGGCACGGCGATGGTGTCGTGTAGCTGCCATTGATGTGCGCTAGCCCCGACTCGATAAAAATAGTGTTTTGGCTGTCTTGTACAGATCCGGGTGCGCAGATCACAACTGTATGGCCTCGGTCTCGGACCAGATGCAGCGTTTTAATCACGCTCGGTCTTCATTTCTGTTCAATCGTCACCGAACACTCCCTGGATACGGTCGCACTCAGACGCTAATTCGACTCTGAACAAGATTGGCCGGAGTCTGACAACTTGTTTGGCGTCCCGCCTCACGGTGACTAACGGAACTGATGCCTCCGCAACAGATAATCAAAAAGGGGGCTCTGCGTGTGGCACGCGGGTCACAAGTAGACAGCCAATCTGCTCGAGCCATACTTTGTGGGGACCCAATCAGAATCTTGGGGTCTGAAAACGCTCGCCTGGAGGCTGAAAATGTGCTTGATTAAGAACATGGAAGTGGACTTTTGGGCTGCGATCGTTCAGCGGCCGTGGTCCAGAGTTGCCCGCCGAACCTGCCTCCCCCCCCCCCCCCCCATCCCCCTCTCATCGGCGATCGGTGCACGCAGTCGAGCAGGTTGTGTATATAACGAATCCGAAGAGATTTATTCCCCACAGGTGACGTGACCTCGTCACGGCTGGCGTCGTGGCAGCAAATGTATGTGGGGCAAACGGCAAGGCCACGTAATGCAGACAGCACGGGTGCGGGGGGAAAGCAGGAAGAAGGTGAATACATCGCTCATCTACAATGATGAAAAATACATGAACAAACAGCAGGAGTGGATTGGGGTAGGTGAAATGGATGGAGCATACATGGTGAATGCACAGGATATATAGGGGGAGTTGATGATGATGATGGTGATTGAAGTTTTAGGACGCGCTGACTTCTGGGGTAGTACAGGAGAGCAGCAAATGAAATACAAAGTAGACTGTGAGCACATATGATGTACATAGCCTGTAGTATGTACATAGGATGGGTACATGCTACAGGCTGACGGGTTGCCTTATCCAAATAGCTAAGGAGTCGCAAAGGGCTAGTAAGGCATCTACCCGCGGAAGACTGACGAGGCGTTTGCATGCACCGGAAGACCAGAAGGGAGTGTCTGTCCGGCGGCCGACGCGTCGGCCGTGAGCGCGGGCCGTCAGCCGGCCCGAGCGGAAGGGCTGCGCTTGCCATGAGGGGCGGTCAGCGGAGGACGGCGCGGCCGGGGAGGCGAGGACCGAGCCGGAGCCGGTGGCCGCGCCGCTGTGGTGCTGCCAGCGCGGTTCAACGGACTCGGCAGGAAGCCGGAGCGGGCCACTTTCACTCCGGCACGGGGCCGCGCGCTGCTGACACGGGCCACCTCTTGAGGCGGCGAGAGCGAGGGAGACGGCCGGCCGGCGGGCGCTGCGCCTGTCGGGAGGCGGCGGACAGGCGGCGTTCGGCTCCAGCCACCTCCGGCAGGCCCGGCCGCCTGGCGCGACGCGCACCACCTATTACCGCTGCACCTGCTATGCAGGCTGAACCATATGTCATCCGACAAACAGTCCGAGCATATCACGTAAAATTTCAAGGGCGGCTACCATTATATTGCATTGTATTATATATATATATATGTATATATATATATATATATATATATATATATATATATATATATATATATATATATATATATATATTCTAGTCAGTGCTACATCTCCGCTTACGTATTGCGACGCGCACGGGGTATGTCGTTGACACAGGGGGTTGCCATGGTGTCGGTTAGAGCAATGCCGCTTCTAATCTTCTCGTTCAATGCGCGCTCCAACACCGACACCATAGGTGGCACGATCACTCATCGTCCCAGTCACTTATGATGACGAGGTCGTGGAACAAAGATAAATGCACGCACACACTTGGGAGGAATGTTGCACAATAGAAACGTCGCCTGGATTAAAGAGGCATACACCTGTGAGCGTGCAACGAGTGCCGTTACGCCCGCCTGGTTATAGTGACTCCACTGTGCAGGGCCGAGGCAGTAGCTCGTGGCGTTTCCGTTCGAGCGGAGGTCCCACCATTGCACCTCAATGATGAGCAGCAGGCCGGACATCAGGCAGGAACTCGCCCTCCATTTGCTCACCAGCGGTTCAATATATTGCAAAGAGATGCATCGATATATTTTTTCGGGATGGAAGCTCTTGTCCTTGGACCAGGTGATGCTCCTCTTTGGCAGACCCCCACATAGGTGCAGTGGAAGCCGTATGATAACGGCGCTCCTACATCAGGCGCTCACCATCCTGCATGACCGCTGGCTGACGATAGGCCACATGCAAAGTGGAACTGGAGAGCGTCGGACCGACAGCTGGTCCGACCGTCAGCAGCTGGTCCAAACGTCAGCAGCTGGCCCCATCGCCAGAGGCCAGACCGACCAGCAGCAACTGGTCGGAGCGTCAGCAGCTGGTACCGTCCAAACAGCTGCTCCGCCGTTAGCGCGCACATGCACTTGTACTACCTGGCGCCGAGCCAACGAGGGCGGTCATTCACCCCTACTACTGCCATAGACTACGGCTGTGCAGCGGCGCCAGCGCAACGGCCTTGGGGTGCGGCTTGGGCTGCGGAGGATGATCGGCGCCGGCCGCCGCTGGCGCCGCCGCCGCGCCGCCCGGGTCGGCCGCGCGGGGGCGCTGCCGACGGCAGGCGCCCGCGCCACCGGCCAGCGCCAGGTGTGACCAGTATATAAAGAACAGTGGCGCTCTGCCGGCCGAGAACGGACGCGTCAGCGGGGCGCCGCCACCCGACACCAGTGGGGGATGGCCACTGGTATGGGACACACCACCTGGCCGAGCGAGCAGAGCGGCCCCCGCGGCCCACAGTCCCGGCGCACCTGACTCAGCTCACCAAAGCCTCGCCAGCGGCGTCAGCAGGGTCAGCCGCCGTCCAGTCGAGGCATGCTGCGAGGGCAGCCGAGTCACCCCGGACGCGGCTGCGCGATGGAGTCGGTGGCGGCTCCGGCTCCTGTCGGCCAGGTCCGCGGCCCGCGGGCTCCGGCGGAGCCACCGGTCGGTGCTGCGGTGGAGGACGCCGGATCGCCAGGCAAGAGCAGCTCTGCAGGCGGCGCCGCGACGCCGCCCGGGAGAAGCTCAGCAGCCGAGCACGGCGCCGGCGATGGCCCGGGGCCCGCGGGCAGCGCGGCTCGCGCCGCCGAGGGTAGCGCCGTGCCCTTCCCGTTCAAGCTGCTGCCGCTGGACGCGGAGACCCAGCGTCGCGTGATCGCCGACTTCCCCGGCTACCCTAACGGGCTGCAGTGCGTGCAGAGCTGGGGCTTCAAGGTTGTGGGAACGGCCACGGAGACCGACCTGGAAGCACTCTACAACCGCCCGCTGCAGCCGGGCGACATCTGGGTCTGCTCGCCGCCCAAGTGCGGCTCCATGTGGACTCAGGAGCTGGTCTGGCTGCTCGAGAACGACCTTGACTTTGATGGCTGCCGGGTCATGCTGACCGAGCGGTGGCGCTTCAGCGAGTCTTGTATGGCCATCGACCTGGAGCAGCGGACCCAGCTGGCGGCGAAGCGGACGGCGCCTGCCGCCAGCGCCGGCCGGTCGCGCTTCGTCAAGTCGCACCTGCCCATGTCACTCTGTCCGCCGCGCTTGCTCGACGTCTGCAAGGTCGTGTACGTGGCGCGCAACCCCAAGGATATCTGCGTGTCGTTCTACAAGCACGCGCGTCGCTACAAGAACGTCAACTTCCAGAAGGAGCTGGAGGTGTTTGCGGACCACTTCCTGGCCGGCAACGTCGTGCTGACGCCAGTAGTGCCGCACATGATCGAAGCCTGGAACCTGCGCCACCACCCCAACATGTGCTTCCTGTTCTACGAAGATATGAAGCGCGACCTGCGCGGCCAGATCCGCCGCCTCGCTGGCTTCCTCGGCCGGCAGTACTCGGACGCGCAGGTCGACCGGCTCGCCGAGTATCTGCACATCGACGCCTTCAAGAAGAACCCGTGGCGGTCGCAAGACTTCGGCAAGGGCGCCGGCATGATGAACGAGGGCGAGGGCGACTTCATCCGCACCGGCAAGGCGGGGGACTGGAAAAATCACATGTCTGCCGAGATGAGCGCACGCTTCGATCGCTTGCTGGAGGAGCAGCTGAAGGGCACCGATCTGCGCTTTACCATGGAGCTTCAGCAGCAGGACTAACGCTCTGCGTGTGGTCCGCAGCCGGCGAACGCGGGCCATTCCGTGCAGCCAAGCTGATAATCTACCGACGCTAACACTTGGCTTAGCATTCAGTTCACCGCTAGCGGTTCGGTATTGGTGTGTTTAGGCTAGTTGTTGCTAGGCTGGTCGTTTCCATGGTCCAGCACGTAGTTGCGAGGTATGCGAGTTCTAAAGCATAAGCAGCAAACACTTTTGTATCATGAGTACTAAGTGAGGGATTTAGTGCGTTTCAGCGCGCGGCCAAAGTTTGCGCTCGCCGAACGCGCGGAATGCGTTTTGCAACAGCAGTGTACTGAGGCCTGTGCTGGATGCAGTGCGCGCGTCACCAATGCTGGAGATCATGACCATAGAGATATGCCGTCGCTTCCCTGCTGGCCCAACCATCCGTACACTGCAAACCGCGAAACACGCTCCAGTCGGATGTCAACGCGCGGTTCTGCTGGAGAGCGATGTGGGGAAAGTCGGTCCGACCACATTACGCATCGGCGCGCAGACTCCAATACATGACCACGTGGCAAGTCACAATTTTAGAGTGCCCAGTGAGCCTTGTTTCGGGGTGTCAGCTCATCGCGCAGCACATCGCGTCAGACCGCTCGCAAAGGTAGATCATGAGGCGCGAGAAACTCCACCTCGAATAACCGACCACTGAACACATGACGAAAGATTAGGAAAGCTCTTGCAAATGCACTTTGTTGTTTTCTCCTTGGTGTCTTTCCATTCTTAGTTAACTTGGCGGCTTTCACCTTGCAGCATCAGGTTCCTAAGGTGTGTTAATAATACGGTTTAGGTGCTGCAGCTGGGTGGGGAGGGGGGGAGGGGGGATTACTTTGTCATCTGTACATGGGTCATGCGCAGGGAGAGAAAAATAACAACTCGACTGTCCTGAATCATTTCTAGTACCATTGGTTTCGGTACCTGCCGTATCAGGCCACTCCACTCGGACCAGCACTCAAAAGCTGGCGCGGACATCCCTTCTCGCTTAGCGTCCAACCCCCTCCCCCCAACTGGGAACACGAACCAGCCAGGTCAGCAGAGACGTGCAACGATATTCCACTTTTAGGGCAGACTGTCGATGTGGCGCTCACTGAGCTACCTAAACAAAATGTGCCACACGGTATTCGTGATTGTCGCATGTCATTACTTGGAATTTAATGATGCGTCATTGTTAGCACGTTTACCCTCGTAGGATCTCTAGTTCTAGTGAGCAGAGTGACAGCTTACATTAAACGCTCTGGTCTAAAAATCCCGTCTCGGCATTTTAAAAGAAGCACGTAGTTTAAGGTCAAGATTCGCTGCGGAACATCCACTGGCGGGGGCTACGCGCGTGTCACTGTGCCTCGGTCAGACGAGTTGACAGGTGATCACGCGAGCCACCAGCCACGACTGGGGGAACTTGGCATTTGCTGCGCCGCCGTCGGGAGCAGCTGGAACCAAGCGATATCTGAAGGATAGGGACATGCTTTAGGGCTCTTCAGCACTCTAAGGAAAATTTTCTCGCTGTGGGCATGATAAGATAGGTCGCGATTGGTGCGCCTGACAAGCGTGCATCCTTACCGAATACACAAACACTCCATGCAGGCCTACCCAAGGGCGACGGACATCATATGCGGTGTGTGCGCAGTAATGTTGGCATAAGATGTTCTGCAAGAAGAAATGTTTTTATTCCAATGTTTCTCCGAAAGTCAGTTTAGTTACTGCAGGTAGGTCTGCTTATGTTGGCCATACACGTTTCATGGCGTCAGTTTTTACCAAAAAACACACTTTGCAGCCAAGTCGCATTGAGAGCTGAGATTAGACAGGCGGTGAGGCACATTTTTCTTCGATTTACGCCAGCGCCCTTTATCAGCCCAAGTAGGATAGACCAGTAGCTCATTACCATAGAGAAAACAGCGGGTATGGTTCGTGACTGACGGCGCCATCCCAATCTGCCGTGCCAGAGACAGCGGGGCACGTGACGCTGCCGGTCTCGCGGGCCCCGCGGCACGCAGTACGCGTGCGGGGGCGGCGCCGGCCGGGGCGCTGCAGGGGTGCAGCGGGCTCTCCTGCAGGGCACGGGCCCGCGGCCGGACCGCGGCGCCGCCGTCTCGCCGCGCCGGAGAACCGCCGCCGCCCGGCCGCCGCCGAGGTCGTTGCTCCCGCGCCGGGTTCGTTGACCCCGCGGCTTATCCGGATGTCTGGCCGCGTTTCGAGCCCCGCATTGAGCCTCCGAGTGTGGACAGCAACGGGGCAGCGTCGCTGCAGCCGAGGGGCCCACCGGCTCGTCATGAAGTGCCGGCTGTTCCCGCTGCCAATCTCGAGGGCCCCCGGGGTGCCCCTATCGACCCTGGCCACCACACAGATCAGACTCCCTGATAGCTGGCGTGGTACATTCGGGGCTGTGCTCCGTCCTGGATAAGAGATTTTTAAGCTTTACGTCATTTACTTTACATGTAGCACATAACACATACATCTGACAAATACAAATGCACACACTATACAATCGTTATAAATGGGCGCGGCAATAATGGAGTTCAACGGCAATCAGCTGCAATTATTTTATCCGGGCGTTTTACGTTGTTTTAAAAACATACAAAAAAGTCAACAGCCTCCTTAGACATCACGTTCCCGTCTCAGGTTTGTCCAGTTCTTCTCATCTGGGCCAAGGTTTTCTTAAATGTTGCAATAAACCTTTCCACTTCTTTAACCTTTTCAAGCAGATAGCACGACTGAGATGCAAGCCTACCCCCCCCCCCCCCCTTCCTGATCATGCTTTTGACGCACACAGCCACATGATTCATCATTTAATCCATAGCTATTTCCAGAATTGCTCTGAATGATTGCTCATTGAATTCAATTATGTCGCTAATAGTATTGTTTTCTAGTAACCACGTTCGCATTGCTCGCCAAAATCGTTGAACTGTCGGGCAGTCCTGCATCATTTATGAATAAGGCTTGATCGATGTAGCACAGATATGCGTTAACACTGCACGTCAGCAAGCCCCGGTAGATTGGCCGTGATGAAGGTGACTGGTGTAAATACGCGATTACCATTGCTGTATTCTTATAAAAGCCTGTTTGTAGGCATGCATTTGTGATCCGGCCTAAGTTCATCCACGCGTCAAATCGCGAACGGTATTCGAAACTGCTTCCTGGAGACGCTCCCACCAGTCGTCCGCGTATATTGCGCTAGTAATAAAAGTGTGTTCTCCACCGCCCATTCATCTATCGAGCCGTCGCTTTCTCGTGGAGCGTGCAGGTTCCCAGGTGACGGCTCTGCGACAGCGGCGCTGACTGATGGTCGACTTCACTGGGCCACCTACCGTCACCAGCGTGACGGTGGCCGTCATGAGCGCGATGATGAGTCATTAACATGACGGTAACTGGCGCCAGCGTGGCAGTGAAGGTCATACGCGTGATGGTGAGCTATTAACGCGACGGCGACAGTCACCAGGGTGACTGTGACAGTCATTAGCGTGACGGTGACGGTCATTTATTAGCATGATGGTGTGTCATAACGCGGCAGTAACGGACATCACGGTGGCCGTGACAGCCATAACAGTGACGATTATTAGCGCGATTGTGAGTTATTAATGTGACGGTGACTGTAACCAGAGTGACTGTGACGGTTATTAGCGTGACGTTGGCGGAAATTAGCGCGATTTTGAGTGATTAACGTGACGGCGGCGGTCGTGAGCGTGGTAGTGACGCTTATAAGCGTGATGGTGACGATCATTAGCGTGGTGGTGAGCCATCAACGTGACGGTGACGGTAATCAGGGTAAATGTGACGACCATTAGCGTAACGGTGACGGCCATCAGCGTGATGGTGTGTCATTAACGCCAGAGTGAGGTTATTACCATGACAGTGACGGCTACTAGCGTGACAGCGACTGTTATCAACGGGATGTTAGCGGTCATTAGTGTGACAGTGAGTTATAGATGTGATGGCGACAGTAACTGGGGTGGCTGTGACGGCCATTATCGTGATAGTGACGGTCATTAGCGTGGACTGGTGACTGTGGTGGTCAGACCGTGACGGCAATTAGCATGCCGTGCCATTATCCGTACCCAATTCTTCACCAGTCAGTGGCAGCTACAAACGCGATTGAATGGCATGTGTCGCGCCCGCTAAGGTAGCCTGAAATGGCTGGCAATGACACCAAAATGACGTGTTTACAAACGCACCTTAAACAATCCCGGCGTGGTTAGACATACCCGAATGTTTGCTGCTCAAGTTCCAATTTTAATAGGCTCGGTTAGATCATCGCATCGCGACCCCCGGACTCTTTTGAAGAGACATTTGGGCCTGCCCCACATGCATCTTTGCTCGTTTCTAACCAAATATTTGGATCCTATCGATGCCGCGAACATTTCATGTTCATCAACCAAGGCAGTGCAAATCACCGAGATCCAGCGAATGGAGCCTGGCTGGCGTTACATGGCCGGGAGCAGGGCTACCGTGGCCGGGTGAGGGGAGCTGGGTGTCGCGGTCGGCGCGTCCTTTACCGGGACCAAGGGTCACGGCAGAGCCCGACCCGAAACCACACGCCCGCAATCGGCTCGAAGTTATCCACACATGGGCGGGCTCGCTGTCACAGCAGCGGCAGATCGCTTGAAGTCTCGCATGGCGGAGTTTGAGCAACGTATCACTATATTTGATTTGGCTGATCTGAGTGATTGTGGGAATTGTGGATGGGTTGCGCTAGGCAAGACAGTGTTTGCTGCATTCGGCGGAAGCCCTGTGCTCACTCGTGCAGGCTCCTTGCCTGTGATCATTGGACGCAACTGCAGCAGTATGGGTCGTGACGGCAGAGTAATTAGCGCCTTGGACTTCCACATAAGCGGGGGGGGGGGGGGGAGATCATATCAAAATCCTAGCCATGGCCCCAGAGCACAAATATGGCAATGCAGTCGCTGGCGCTCCGTAAAAGAGGGCGTGACGACGTGCGTCGCGTCCCCTTATAAGACTACAGTAATATTGTCAACACGCGCTTGATTGGGGGGTTGATTTTGATCCCTCCAAAGGTTTTTCGGAATGGTTTCCGAACGGCACGGCGTAGCCGCACCAATTTTGCTAAGCTGTAGACAATTGAATATCGGAATATATGGTATCCAGAATTTAGATATACATTGCAAGTTCGCTGACCTATAGGTCAAAGGCCATGAATTTGGCGAAGCTAATTTCTAGGGAATCCTTCAATCGGATACAATGACGGAGTGTTAGACGAGACCATACGCCACTGAGATATTTTCTTAGGCAACGCAACAATTAAATGAACATATTCCATTGCCTTTGGGTCAGGTATAAAAGTAAGACCAAGGGCAAAACCAGCCTATTTGATTACGCCAGGGCTTGCTGCATGAGGTAGTTCCTGGTGCTTGTTTCGAACTTATGGATAACAGGAATCACATCATGCACCTTCCATGGACTTTTAAAATGTCACAATAGGTCACTGACCTAAAATCGTTTTGGCCAATATTTTGTTTTCGGAGCATACTGCCCATCGTAATCTTTGCTGCTTATTCAAATGCGAAACTTAAAGCAGTCTTGCGTAATTTTGGTCACCATGACCTTCGAAAGGTCAAACAAGGTCACTTACCTTAAATGAACGTGTGACCTTTTGCTGCTTAGAATAGGTGTCTAGGTTCTGGGAGCACTTTGGGCACCGACCTGGAGTTCGACTTCGTTTACCTTATTTTATACAAAGGTCATGACCTAGGAGCCGTAAACCTTGACCGAAATGAGTTTATGTACAAACAAACACACCCTGTGAATTTCGTGTCTCTAGCTTTTTAGTTTCTGAGATCTCGGGGGCTAAAGTGACCCCTCACCCGAGGGAAGGGTACCCAAGCGGTCACCCGGGTGCGTGTTAAAAACGGCACGACTCTTGAAACGTGCCAAAGTTTTGAACGCGCCGCAACCACCAACCGGACATCCCGATCAGCACATTTCACGCGCGCCTCCCAACCAAAAACCTTTATCATTCGGAACGGGGGGGGGGGGATGGGGGTCGGAGCTGGATTTGTGCGTGCTGGGCAGCATGCCGAGCCGGGGAGGTGCGTGACATGCGTCTCGGCGGCCGACGGCCCCGCCCTGCCGTTGCGTCAGGCGACACCGTGTGGAGGGCGGGTCAACGCACTGCCAGTCAGCCGCTGCTCTCGACGCGGGCCCGAACACGTCCGGGTCAGCCTGCCGACGGCTTCGACAACGGAGCCACCAAACGCAAATCCGACTGCTATCGCTAGCTATTGGGGTGGCGGAACAGCGCCCTCGAGCTGAAGGTGACCGCAATCAACGCCGTCCGTCACTGTGCTCAGTTAGATGGGCTGTTTTCGGATTCGCCCGCCTGTGGCAAGATGGACCCGAGTCACTTCAAGAGCTCTATATCTGCCCCCGATGGAATAGCCTTGTGGTCTGTAGCAGCGGTAGCCATAGTTAGATAGAAAATAGAAAGTAGGAGCTAGAAAGATAGTAGATAGATAGATAGATAGCAGAAAGTTCAAATAACATTACAGGGTAGGACGGACCGTGCCGCGTATTACGGCACGTTAACATTTCCTCACAGTATTCTGCCGATGACCTAAAGCTTAACGATCGGATGCTACGGCCGCGGCTTACGCAACAAGCGCGAGTTGGTGTGAATACCGATCCCAGTAATTCATCCAATCGATAGGTCGGGAACATGCCTGCAAAATTCGATATTGGTAACGCAACGTTGAAGAACATGGGAATCCAAATGCTGAAAATGCAACTTAACTTGTGATACATGCCCGACTTTTATCGTACCAGTGTACGAGCTGATGTCACTCGCGATTCAAAAACAAGCGCACATACCATTCATTTCTTTGTTGCTGTTGTGTACAACGTGCAGTAGTTGAGATTTGATTTTTTTGAAACGAAACACTGACGTCAATCTAGGGATAAGATCTCATTTAAAAACTTGCTTGAAACAATCAACAGGGCAGACATATAGTCATGTTCTTTTGACATTCGTCCTTCTCACACATTTTCAGGGTGCCAGCATGCGCTTCCACTTTTGAGCACATCATGGAAATGGAACACACATTCCAAGAGTACCTCGGCCGTCGGTCAGCCCGCCATGTTCTCCCGTGTTGTCCATACATGGCTCAACTATTGAACTGTGGTCGCGTCAGCAGGCGCAACGGCACCTCGTGCCACTACCGCCGGCGCTCCAAGCCACCACCGCCGGCATCCCGAGCCACCACCGCCGACGCCTCGAGCCACTACCGCCGGCGCTCCGAGCCACCACCGCCGGCGCTCCGAGCCACCACCGCCGGCACCTCGAGCCACCACCACCGGCGCTCCGAGCCACCACCACCGCCGCTCCGAGCCACCACCGCCAGCGCCCCGTGCCACCACTGCAACGCCGAGAACTGGGCCTCCGGACGGGGAAACTGCGCGCCGATCTCTGGTTGACCTGTGACCCCAGTGATGCTCCGGCAAATCGCCTCCTTCCCTTCGACAATGACTATTTGTAATATTTTGGCCGCCGCACACCGGCGCCAGGTCCTGCAGCAATTCTAGTTTACAACTGGCAGATATTAGCCAAGAATGACCACTTAAAAGTTACATCGTCGTGATCCGCGCTAAACAGATAGCAAAAGTGGGTGGTGTCGATTTCAAATATATTTTCGAACTGACACCAAGCCGGCTAAATGCCGCCCCAGTAAGTTTTCAAATGAAGAAGCATTAAAACAGGCCGCAGCGACGACGAATCTGCCGCACATCATTCTATTTTATTTATACCATTTACAAAAAGGCAGACAACCAAGCTCAGAAAACACAGGGGAGATAAGTAACGGCGACATTGCAAGGCTGCGAAAATACGCCGCCTAACGGAAAGAAATGCATTTAGACGAATCGGAGCTGTTGCAGCACAACTTTTAAAGAACTGCGCAAGGTGCTAGCAATGATTGAATGACGGCGCGATCGGTAGTTGCGGAAATCAGAATGCCAATAGACCAGTCCAAACGTCACTGGTCAGGCAGGTGGGCTGCACCGCTACGCGATATTTAGAAAGAACCGGATGACTCTGACTTCCATGTCAAGGCCGTGTCAAAACCACATAAATCAGTAGGGCAGTCCAAACTACTTCCACCGAAAAAAGCATTCCGTGTGGATGTTTGAGTGTGGAATGTGGATACTAATTACACACCTTACCAAGCGACTACCACTAGTCACAGCGTCGCTTCAACACACTACATCGAACGCTTATCTGCGCGTACAAAAGTTGCACTACAGCGCACCATACCCCTTGCAAGGTTCTGATGTCCTCTAAGGTGTCTGCAGTCTACCTATCCATTGACAGTTATCAACATTATCATTATCAGCAACAGTTCATGACAGCTGATAAGCGAAAGCCGGACGCGTAAAGGACCAGTTGGCCCCCTCCGACTCATGCCTTACAAATCGCTACAGAAGTCAGCCCACGGAGAGGAGTCCTTCAGTGATAGAAACCCCTCTCGTACCGCACTGAACAGTGCCAGTCCATTACGCGTTTCGCGCAATCACCAAAGTACTTAGTTACCAAACTCGCCGAATGAGGCGCTGGTATCGCAACTAGTCTCTGGGCCCCAGTCGTTGCTGGCCGTCTCCCTCTGCACTCGCCCCGCGACCTTTACACCCGTCCTGGTCAGATCGCACCGCGCGACATCCACCTCAGGCGTGGCTTGCGCAAACTCGTGTAGTAGAATGCGTCGCGGTGGTGACGAGTTGGAAAATGAGGGCAAGGTACGCACGCGAAGCACAGTACATAAAAGTGCACGCAACTCGGCAACCCGGCGAAAGAACGTGACGGATTGCGCGTAAGCCGCTTCGATACGTGCATCCACATTCATTGAGATGTATTTGGGAACACAGCAGCAAACAGCGAAGACACGAGCGTCCAGACTCAGCATCGGCTCTTTAGTCCGGAGCATCAATGACACATCACGACCGCCGGCGCCGGCAGAGCAGGGCTCGGCCGGCGAGTTCACGCGTCGAAAAACTCGCGGGCCAGCTGTCGGAGGAAGCTCAGACAGCGATCCATGGCTTCTCCCGAGCTGAACCGGATCTGCGGAGCGAGGGGGGGGACAGGGGGAGTCACGAGTCTGGCGACCTGCCAACTGCCGCGGCGGACAGACGGGGGGGGGGGGGGGTCCTCAGTTATAACAGTGGATCGCACAGTAAGGCATTTCCCAGCGGACCCCCCCCCCCCTTCCGCGCCGTGCCGACCCGTAATCGGCAATGAGGTCACCTCGTGACAAAATACACCGAGCTAGGGAGTCATATACTGAAGACAATGGGCCCTCAAAATACCAGGAGGTACTGGTTAAACGGTACTAGCAAACAAGCTTTCATTACGCAGGCAAATTCGACGTTTCGACGTCGAGCTCATGGTTAGGAGTGGCCATGACCGTTAACCGCTGACCGTTGCCGTGACCATGACCGCTGCCGTGACCACGACCGCTGCCGTGACCATGACCGCTGCCGTGACCATGACCGTTGCCGTGACCATGACCGTTGCCGTGACCGTGACCGCTGCCGTGACCATGACCGTTGCCGTGACCATGACCGCTGCCGTGACCATGACCGTTGCCGTGACCATGACCGCTGCCGTGACCGTGACCGTTACCGTGACCATGACCGCTGCCGTGACCATGACCGTTGCCGTAACCATGACCGCTGCCGTGACCGACCCTCAGCACCCACCCCGGTCAGAGGGTGGCCGCCGTCCCTTGGTACCCGCCCCAGTCAGAGGGTGGCCGCCGTCCCTTGGTACCCGCCCCAGTCAGAGGGTGGCCGCCGTCCCTTGGTACCCGCCCCGGTCAGAGGGTGGCCGCCGTCCCTCAGCACCCGTCCCGGTCAGAGGGTGGCCGCCGTCCCTTGGTACCCGCCCCGGTCAGAGGGTGGCCGCCGTCCCTTGGTACCCGCCCCGGTCAGAAGGTGGCCGCCGTCCCTTGGTACCCGCCCCGGTCAGAGGGTGGCCGCCGTCCCTTGGCACCCGCACCAGTCAGAGGGTGGCCGCCGTCCCTCAGCACCCGTCCCGGTCAGAGGGTGGTCGCCGTCCCTTGGTACCCGCCCCGGTCAGAGGGTGGCCGCCGTCCCTTGGTACCCGCCCCAGTCAGAGGGTGGCCGCCGTCCCTTGGTACCCGCCCCGGTCAGAAGGTGGCCGCCGTCCCTTGGCACCCGCCCCGGTCGGAGGGTGGCCGCCGTCCCTCAGCACCCGTCCCGGTCAGAGGGTGGCCGCCGTCCACTCACGCGTCCGTCGGCGTACACGGTGGCCAGTGGCGTGACCAGGCGGCTGAGGTCGAGCGCGCCCAGCGGCAGACCCACGGCACTGTTGGCCTCGGCCGCCAGCACGCGGTGGAAACGGTCCATCTCCTCCCGCGACATTTCGGGCAGCGTCGCGTCATGGACACTGTCGGGAGGGCAGGGACTCCGTCAGGCACTGCGCTGGGGGGAGGCTAGGGCCCCCGTCAGGCGCTGCGCTGGGGGGAGGCTAGGGCTCCCGCCAGGCGCTGCGTTGGGGGGGAGGCTAGGGCTCCCGTCAGGCACTGCGCTGGGGGAGGCTTGGGCTCCCGTCAGGCACTGTGCTGGGGGAGGCTAGGGCTCCCGTCAGGCGCTGCGCTGGGGGAGACTGGGGCTCGATTGAGGCACTGTGGGGGGGGGGGGGCTAGGGCTCCCGTCAGGCGCTGCGCTGGGGGGGGGGGGAGACTGCAGCTCGATTGAGGCACTGTGGGGGGGGGGGGGGGGGCTCCGGGTTATCCGAACCTGACCGTCCACGTGGCTCAGCCGTAAGTGCTTCATGAACGCCGCGCAAAAGGCAGGGTTTCGCGTTCCCGACACAGGGCTCACGTGATTCACCTCGGCCAAATGGCAGCGGGCTAAGATGGTCCGGCTAGCGCAGAACGGCCGAGCCGTGACAATACAAAGCTCACTGAGGTCCTGCTGAGCAAACTGATCCGCTGAACTGAGATCACTTTATCGCTTACGGGCGTAGACTGCTCGCTACAAGCTAAGCCCAGCAAACATTGTGAGCACAACGTGGACACAGCATACCCTGCCCAGCATTCAACCGAATAAAAAAGGAAACCATGCTGAGAAATGCGCAGCATTCATCACTTGCGTCATTACTGTGCCGTCTCCCAGCCAAGTGTTCAGAAGCAGTTTGAGCAGCAGAACTGCGCGACCCGTTGGAAAGGCTAATGAACGGTAGTAAATATTACTGCACTGAAACAAACTAAAGAGTACTCGGCAACAAATTATCAACAGAAGACCACGATGTCCAATGCTCGCATACTTAGTCACAAGACGAGGACAGCAGCACTCTCGTCAGTGGGGGGGGGGGGGGGGGGGGGGGCTCCTCACCAGTCGCCGGTGGCCGGCGCATGTGGCGGCCCGGCTGCGTACTGACCTGGCCCAGATGAGCTGCGGCCCGGCTGTGTACTGACCTGGCCCAGATAAGCCGCATTTGGTCGCAGGGCAGCTCGAGGGTAACTGTCAGCGGGGCGGCCACCGTCTCGGGCGTGCGGTACTCGAGGGCCACGCCGCGCGACGCGCCCGCCTGGCCCGCCCACATAGCCGCCATCCAGCGCAGGTCGTCCTGGAGGAGGCCGGCCACGTCAGGTCAGGTCAGCACGCCACCGGACGGAGTGCGGCCCGAGGAGAGCACAAGAGGCCCAGGGGCTGGTAGAACGGTCGCCTGGCCTAGCGCAGAGCGCCAGGAGCTCGCTAGCGGATGAGAAGTGCCGTAAGACACTCACAGATGGTCAAAACAGACGCTGAGGCTCCCTATTTCGTAATTTCGGCCACGCGATGCGATCGGTTTGGTATGGCTTGGTAAGAGCATCCCCGGCATTTCGACTCCCTTTCCGAGTTGTGGGATTTAGGCGAGTAGTGGGATCATGCGCTTTAACGAGAAAGAACGAGGCAGGCGAGCAGCGACGGAGCTCCGAGCTAGGGAACAACGTCTCTGTAACGGTATGGCCATTTGGTGAGTCCATCATGCGTAACAGTTGACCGGGAAAACGGCACCTGGCACCAATTCTCCAGGACCAGAATCCCTTTCATCTCACAGATGAGTTACTTGGAAGTCACCCACAACGCTGCTGCGCCCCACAAACACATCCAGCTGTCGTCGTGCGGTCAGCAAGTCATCGCTTGCAGCATTGCGTGGTGGCACTGCATCCAGACTCTGGTGCCGACGTCTCTCGACAGATGGCGCCGAGCGCGCCTCGCACCTGTGTGAAGCCGGCCGCCAGGCTGCTGGTGCCGTAGACGGCGCGCAGCCGGGCGCACACGGCGTCCAGGACGGCGGCGGCGCCGCGGCAGAACGCCAGCGGCAGCCAGACGCACTGGCCCTCGCAGCTGGCGGGCAGCGAGCGGCCGACGGCCTCGTCATTGCAGAGGAGGAGCTCCGCCAGCGACGCGGGGCGCTCCGGCGCACGCACAGTCAGGCGGAGGCACGGCACAGACGAGTGTCCGTCCAGCAGCGCGTCCACCACCGCCGCCTCCACCTGCCGCGCACAAAACGAGGCGACTCAGTCAACCGCCTCCCCCCCCCCCCCCTAGTCCGTCCACACGACGTGAGTCCGACCACACGGTCAGCCTGTCCACATGACGCGGCAGGCCAGTCCACACAGCTGGTCGTTCCACATGAATCAGGTCAATCCATACAGCTGGTCTTCCCACATGAATCAGGTCAGTCCAAACAGTTCAGTCCACGTGCATGGCCCTGGTCAGCCCAACATGGCCCGGATGAATACGGTAGTGTGGACAGCCAGGCCAGTCAACAGGGCCTAAAGGCAGTTACAATTCCAGCTGAACCTGACACCATTCTACGAGAGGACCGGCTCGGCCTGTCGCCACTCCTGAGTCGACAGCGCCCAGCGCAGCCTGCCGCCGCCTCCCCGCCCTCCGAGAGGAGCGTCTGGGCCGGCGCTGGCCAACGCCTCCTCACCGTCATGCCTTTGTACTCAGTGGTCTGATCGAGCTCCAGCCGGACCAACCGCTCCAGCCGACGCAGCACGGTCGTCAGCTCGCGCTTGTTCGTCATCCGCACGCCCCAGAGAGGCCCCACGAACATGACGCGCCAGGTGTGCGCCGCCAGCTGATCCAGCTGGTTGCGCGACGCCGCCGTCATGTGGGTGCGCGCCGGTGCCAGGCGGCGCGAGCGCACCGTACTGAAGGCGGCCAGGTAGGAGGAGCGCCGGCGCGGCTCCGGCGTCGCAGCAGCCATCACCTGCACTGACATCACTGCTGTCAGCTGAGGCATGACATGGGTGCCATCTCATGGACAATGCAACTGTCACCTGATACACTGCAATATGTGGTATGATTAAAAAAGTCCTCTTATAGAAAATAAAAAAATGCTAATTCTATATCTTAAGGATTAGCCTGGGATGAGCATGAGGTGTGTCCAGGGTCATAACAAAAATGATTACAGAATACAAACATAAAACTAAAAAGCTTACAAGAAATGAGTGCATAGGGAGTTTTGAACATCACATTTATTGACTGCCAGAGGGTAACTCACTGGATAGTATTCCAACAACTTGTACATAGTTGCATAACAACAAAGATAAATAAGGCTCACCCCAACCAGTTCCTAACACTGAGTTTGACCATATTGCTAGCGCACTGGTATGTAAGTTAACTCCACCCCAAAAAGAGTTGACTATGCCCCTTACCAAATGAGGTGTACTCATTACTTGAAAACTCTGGACAATACACACAAGACCATACTATCACAGCTCCATTCCAAGGATGCCAAACATTAACCATGTGGTGATGCAAAGAGAAATTGACCAGAACTCAGTTTTTAAAACAGGTTCGAAAGTCATGACTTGTTTTCAAACTTGTTTTTGACACCCTAACATTCTATAATTATTTTATTGAAGCTCTAGACCCACAGGACAGTAGTCTTAACTGGGGAATAGCTCTCAAAAAATGACTGGTTAAATTCAAGGTCCACAGGTTTAACAGTAACATGGGGCTTCCATAAGACATTCTTCCAGTATATTCTCATCTTTCTAAATCCTGTTTCACATCCTGTCCATGAAATTATCAAGGTCTGCACCACCTAAAAGCGAAGAAGTTAATACTTCTGGTTTTGACCCTTTAACATACGGCACGTACCTGGCTTTGCAGTTGAGAACAACTGGCGCCACCACCATACAGACAGCTGTGAACAGGCTTGCCCGTACCGGCAGCCAACAGTTATGACTGCGAATGTAAGCCCACACAAACCAGTTTCAACGATCGTAATGAAAACCCGGTAATGAACAGTGCCCTCACGCAACCACCACAACGTCAAATCTCGAAATCGGCCTTAAGTCAAAGCTGGTTGAAATAAACGCCACAAAATATGGCAGCTGCAACGGCAGGTGGTTAGAAAAGGTTTACTTTACGCGGCCAAGGAATTTAACCGTATTACTTCATAGTTCGGTGTAGCTTACCGTTCACATGATTGTGTTAAAACTAGGGGCCCAGCTACGATTTGCGACAAGTGGTCTTGCCCATAAATGAGTGGTTTTGGTTGCGGCATACCAATGCCGACCGCAGTTTAGAGATGCGAAGCCAAAATTATTTTCCTTGTCGCTAAACTAGGGTCCCCATGGGGGAGTTAAGTCCCATAAAATCCCCTCCCCAGCCACTGGCTGAGCATGTGATTTAAGCCATTCCACATGACAATAACTATCCATGGCCAGGAACACCAAGGACCTAAGCAAACGGGGCTGTTGGATAAGGATGCACCCGACTCAGGAATGGCGAAAATATATACCATAGTTACATAGCTGAAACAAGCATCAAAATGCACGTGTTTTGCTGTAATGAAACTGCACTTCCAGTAAGATTACTTGGAAAACCTAGCCTACTGCTGATGACCCTGCATAACCTTCAGTCGATGCATTATCATAGGCTCGTCGAATTTTCCGTAACTTTATGGAACTCTGGTCCTCTCCACCTAATCAGCCATCAGCAGACCTCCATTTAGACAACCCAGCGTCGCATCCAAAAGTGCTATGTTATCCACTCCTGGCTTCACAACGTAAGCAACCGTGGACCAGCCAACAGCCCTTGGTCCAAACCAGATTCTTTTTATCCCAACGTATGCCAAAACTAAAACCAAATGCTATCTTCTCGCCTCGAGGGGGGGGGGGGAAGCCTGAGAACTCTGGTTGGATCTGCCGGATTACATAAGCCGCGTTCTGCCACGCAGCTGCTACAAATAATGGGATTCGTGCTGTCCCGAACCTCTCATTTACACGAACGTCAGTCAGCGACAGATCCGCCTGGAGATTTCTTCGTGTACGAAGTAGCAGAACGCAGGGATGGATCCGGAGGTGGGGGGGGGGGGGGGGGGGGGGCTATGCTGTTTGCAGCCAATTGTGCCCCGAAGGAGCCCATTGGCTGCGAGAGGGCCCGTCGCCGCCCGAGTAGATGCAGTCTTTTAACACAAGACGCAACAAAACTGGATGTCTCTGGCCTTCCAGACGACCAAGAACAGGTGTAAGCGAAAGTCAAGGGCCTACGCGAAGTAAAAAAATCAATGATTGGAAAGTTGTGAACTGGAGATTTTAAGCCTCATTACACTGTATAGGGGGCCTATGCTGTTTCTGGAAGACCCATAAGCCCATTTGCAGGATCATATCGATAGTTAAGGAGCATTCCACGTTGCCCTTTATTTTTTGCATTTGCTCGGGGGGCCCTGCGCTGTTGTTGGGGCTCTTCCTGCTAGCGTGCCGGGGCACTCATGTCAATCACGGGCCCTTCCACGTGTTCTTTCCATTCGCCAGAAAGGCTCCGTGGGCTATAGCCGGGGTCCTATTTTTCAACTTGGCGGGGTATTCTCGGCCGCTCAGGAGCCCTTTACGTGGGTCTCACTTAACCTATCGACACACTTGCGATATGCTCATGCGCCTTTTTCATTGGTCCAGGGCGTTCCCAATTCTCTGTCACTTGCTTAGGGCCCTGCACTCTTGTCGGTGGCCCATCTGATGGCCTGCTTGGGCACATTCAATCGTTCGGGGGCCCACTACATTGGGTCTTGGGCATGTGCTATTTTGATGGGGCCCTACGCACTTATCGGGGGCCCCTCTGTTCGCCTCTTCGGCCACACTGGATTGCTCGGTGGCCCCCGCACATTGGGTTTTGGTATTTAAATTTAGGGCCCTCTGCTCCTATCGGTGTCATCTGATAACCTGTTCGGGTACACTCCATCTTTCGGAGGCCCTCCGCACCGGATTTTGGGTACATCTTATTTGAATGGAGATCCTCACGCTCCTGTCGGGGGCCTTCTAAAAAGACGTTCGGGCCCATTCGATCGTGGGGGACCTCTACATGTGGTTTTGAGTACTTTCTTTTTTAATGGAGGGCCCTCTGCGCTTTTAGGGACCCTATCTGGACCCTATCCTATCTGCTCTGGCGCACTCGATTATTCTGGGCCCTCTACATTGTGTCGTGGGTATTTCATATTTGGATGAAAGGCCGTACGTTCTTGCCGGGGCTACATCTGGTGACCTGCTCGGGCGCACTCGAATATCCGGGGGCCCTCCACATAGTTTCCTGAGCACTTCCTGTCTGAATGGAGGGCCCTATGTACTTATCGGGGACACCATCTGTTCGCCGCTTCGGCCACATTGCATTGTCCGGGGACCCTTCCCCACTGGGTTTTGGGTACTTTTTATTTGAATGGGGGGTTCTACGTGCTTCTTGGGCCCCTTCTTATGAGCTGCTCGGGCACATTCTGTCGTTCTGGGCGCGTTCACATAAGTTCTTTCCATTCGAATGGAGAGCCCTACGCTTTTGTCGGGGGCCCTATTTGTTAACCTGCTCGAGCACACTCTATCATCCGGAGGCGCTCTTCTTGGGTTTTCGGTGCTTCCTATTTGAATGGAGGGCTCTAGGCTCTTGATGGGGGTCCCTATATATTAACCTGCTCGGGCGCAGTCGATCATCCAGAGCCCTGCACATTGTGTCGTGAGTATTTATTTTCGAACGGATGGCCCCATGTTCTTGGCGGGCGCCATCCCTTAAGCTGCTCGGGCCGGTGGCCGACGCAGAGGGAGGAGGGGGAGGCACGGGACCATGCCCCATGGACCATGCCGAGGGGACCTAAAGGCTCCAAAGGGGCTCATAACTGGCCGAACGGACGCAGTTTTCTTACAACAAAAAACAACAAAATTGGAAGCCTGTGCGCCTACAGACGACCAAGAACACTTAGCAAAAGAAGAGTTCATGAGCAGACCAACCTCATTTTTTGCTGATTGAGAAAATGCTGCTCAAGGAAATTTTGGAGCTCATTACGCTGTTGATTGCCTGGCCCTACATGTCCACTTGCCGGGTCAATCTGATCGCTAAGAAGCTTTCCACGTTACCCTTGATCTCTTTGCATTTTCTCGTAGGGTCCAATGTGCTGCTGGGATGCTATCTGCCTCCATGCCTGAACACTGTTGATCGGTCAGGTTTTCCTCCGCGGATTGTCCCAATTTGCCCGAAAGGCTATTTACGCCTTTTCCAGGCCCCATATGCCAGGGTGCACTCAGTTGCTCAGGGGCCCTTCATTTAAGCCTCGGGCTCTTCCCACTTGCTTGGAGGGCCCTGTGCTGTTGCTAGGGCTTTTATAAGGTAAGGCACGGAGACACTCGATGCCCAGGGGCCACCTACTTTAATCGAGGGCTCCCTCCCTTTGGTCTCATTTGCGGACTCGCCACTCCTACCGAGGCCCGTGTTGTTAGCCCGCCCGCGTACTCTTGATCGCGCAGGGGTTTTAAATTCATGGTCCTGGATAATTCCCCTTCACTCGGGAGTTCTGTGCTCTGGCCGGGGCTTTGTCAGCCTGCCGGTCGTTCATGGGCCCGCCAAGTTGGTCTTGGGTTCTTTTTGCTTGCTCTGTGGACCCTATACTTGTTGACGGGAGCCACTTTGTTGGACTTCTGCGGGCACCCATGATGGCTAGGTCACATCCTTATTGGCCTTGGTGCCTTCGCCTCAGAGCAGCGGCCGAACATGCGCCGATGAATTTTTACGCGCAATTTCCGAACGAAATTTGACATGCCATCGACGTCGCATATGTCATTTTCATTATCTATTGAGTGTGTGACACCTCTACTGGTGTATCACGTTCGTAACATATGTCGGATGCTAGGATATCCTGTACTCCTTTACAGCAGACGAAAAAATCTGCACTAGTCATCAACCATCGACTGATTACATCGCCCAGCCGGCTAGCCGCAGAAACATAAGCTAGGAATCAAGCCCATGCTTGGCTTTGATGGTTGTTAGCAGCTAGCTCAAATTTATTTTGCCCGTTGTTCCCAAACAGTCAGCCTCAAAATGGTAGCATTTCACATGATTTGTAGAAACTGCGTCACTTCTGTGTGTATGTATGCGTAGCACGCCTAGCTTTATGAGGCCGTGCACAGTAGGATGGACTTCGGTATTCATGAAACAAATGGATAAGTACACATACATGCATATATATATATATACACATATATACGTAAGTCTCTCTCTCTCCATATATATATATATATATATATATATATATATATATATATATATATATATACGTTGCATACGACTTCTCTTAAAATGTAAGAACAAAATACAAGGATATTTTTTGGAGAGGGTCCCAAACTCCAGGGGGCCCACAATGTTGCGCGGCCACCCCTTGACGCAATCCTGGATGCGCCCCTGGCAGAGCACTGAGCAGTTGCAATTACCCGCCCAACCTGTATTAAAATGTGGACAAACGCACAACGCGGTTTGGCGCAACAGGCAAGATAATGAAATCTTTAAACAGCCAATAGGTAACACGTAGAGCTCCCGTTGAACGCACTCCAGGCGGGCTATCACCCATGGTAAACGAGCAGCTACAAAGGCCTGAATAGTACACCACGGCACGCGACGCAACACTAATCACGAAACAGAGAATGCACGGCAGACAAAACGCGCTGCCACTGCCCCAGGCCGTCGCACAGGCCGCGCCACGACTCCGCGCCGCGCACACACAGACGCCGGCGGGCGGCTTCGCTCCAGCTCACCGCCGACCAGCGCCCGGTCTGCGCGCGCCGACACAGCGGCGTCCCGTACCGCACAACCTGCAGGCGACCTCCCTCCACGGCCGCCGCCGTTGTAGCTGCGCATCGTACGCCGCGGATCTGTGACGTCCCTGTGACGTGATCTGTGACGACCACGTGCAGACGTCTGCCACCAGCGCGATGTCACCGCACCGTCAGCTCGCGGTGACGGGCGTACTCCGACCAGGATCAGAGTTCACAGCGGCGGGCGGCGGGGCGCCCCGGCAGCCGCGTCTCTTCAGAGGCGCTACCGAGCGACTAGGACGCGAGAGCGGCTGGTGGCGCTAGGCGCCGGAGGTATCCTGCACAGGACAGCGTCGAGGATGCCCGTCAAAGGGCGTAACGCCCAGCCGACAGCGGTTCATACCCCAGCGTCGGTACCCTGCTCATGCCCTTCCTACAAAAAAAGCAGTCAATACTGTGGATACAGCGCAAAAGTCATGATCGACAGAAGGGGTGAGCCTGGAGCCTGGTCAAAACAGCATCAGACGAGCAACGCAAACTCGAGGCTTTTTGGCGAGGTGAGATCTGGCAGGGCGCCGGCAGACGAGATGGCTGGCTTCATCCGACGCGGATACACCAAGGCACTGTCTCGCACGGCGTCATACAAGGACAAGGCGCCCAAACAAAGCGCAGCTGGGAAATGCAGAAGTCGCAGTGCTGATTACACGAAACCCTAACGTCAATGTAAGAAATTAAACAAAGAGGGGCACTCTCCAGAGTATTTGCTACAAAAACACACGTTTTGCCAGTCACCGAGGCAGACATGAACTGCAGCAGCCAATATGTGCAACATGCTTATTTCAGAGCCGTTTCCTACAAATCTTCCCCAAACCCCTAGTTGACGCGAGCTTAATACCGTGCACGAAGCAAACATTTCACTTATAATCTCGTCGGGAAGCCGAGGTTGCATGCCAAAGGCACCCGTCTTCCATTGTTATCACAGACGCGGCCCTACTCCAGCTTGGTTCCCAGAGACCCGTCCCCGCCGACCACGGAGACCTCCAGGTGATCGGTGCCGAACTTGTCGACGTGACTGCGGCGCCGCTCGGTAAGCACAGGTTCGACCAGTGCCCACCAGGTGGCACTGGTCAGCTGCCGCGCCACGCCGTGCAGCAGCAGCAGGAAGCAGGAGGTGCCGGTGGCGATCACGTGGTGCGAGATCGAGAAGCCGATGTCCTGCCACGAGCCGGTGTCCGTCACCAGGAAGAAGAAATGGATGGACATGATGTCGGACATGAGCAGCACCGTCAGGAACAGGCGCTCCGTCGACATCTGCCGCAGGGGCGGGGCGAGCGCGTCAGGCGTCTGGTAGGGCTGCGTCGGCCTGCCACAGCCGGGCGCCGGGCAGCACGAGGCTGCGCACCCCCGAATACCCAACGGTCGGCGCGTGAGCCGGCGATCAGCTGAGATTCCCTCCACATTCTCGGAGACAACCGACAGCTTGTCACACGATCAAATCAGCACAATTCACTTCCCGACACACTGTACAACAGACAATCGGCAACAAACGGTGTTGTACTTTAAGGAGGCACAACTCTGTGCGTCGCCTGACAAACGAATGACCGGCGAGACGGTCAAGGGCCTCCTTCAGGCAAGGGCCTGCTACAGGCAAGGGCCTCCTACAGGCAAGGGCCTCCTTCAGGCAAAGGCCTCCTACAGGCAAGGGCCTCCTACAGGCAAGGGCCTCCTTCAGGCAAGGGCCTCCTTCAGGCAAGGGCCTCCTACAGGCAAGGGTCTACTACAGGCAAGGGCCTTCTTCAGGCAAAGGCCTCCTACATGCAAGGGCCTCCTTCAGGCAAAGGCCTCCTACAGGCAAGGCCCCCCCTCAGGCAAAGGCCTCCTACAGGCAAGGGCCTCCTTCAGGCAAAGGCCTCCTACAGGCAAGGGCCTCCTACAGGCCGTCCTCTGTGAGTCGGATCCCGATTCAGATCCAGATTCAGATTATCCCGGCTGATGTCGTCCGACACATCCGACCCTGACTGACCCTGGTAACGGTAGCCACGGCCCGGGCAAAGCAGCAGACCAGCAGGAACGGCATGAGAATCTTGGTCAGCAGAAGGGCGCCCATCAGCCATGGACTGAACACGGTGACAAATGCGTATACGCAGGTCGGGTCGAACGAGTTGACGCTGGCCATGTTGCCGATGCCGAAGAAAGCCAGAAAGACGAACAACAACTGCACGCGACGCAGTCAAGGAAGCATCAGGGTGAGAACAGTGATTTCGGCGGGTTAAGTAATGGCTGACGTCCAACCACCACACCGCCATGTGACGAGAACATCCTTGACAACATGAGTGGAAGAATGAGTGGAGACGTCAAACAAATAGAGCACAATGGATGTCCATACAATTCAGACTGCGAGTGCATTTAAATCCGTACATGGTACCAAGCCACGAATATGATCTCTTCATCCAAACCACCCGCTTGCTGATCGGGTCTTGGCCAAATCCGCCCCTTGTGTATTCCTTGCTAGTCGCACCTATATGTTGTCCACCTCTTAACATGTTTCCTAGCTTTGTTTAAAAATCCTGGAGAACATTAAGAACGCTTGATATCTTTACGCAAGACCATCTGCTCTGCTAGCCTTTTCATTTCTTGAAGCGTGTACCCACCATTTCGGAAGTTTTTGATCAGACCCATACCCCACTCGTAACGTTTTCAAAAAGGCTTGTTCAATCCAGCAGGTCACTCCTTCAATATTAGAATTCGTTTGTTGACCTAAGTGGTGAAGGGTTCCTGCTCAATTGCTGCTATGTCAGGCGCTCTCGGGGTTCTTCTGAACACTAACTGCCATGCGATGTAATTGCCTATCTTCTGGTTCGTTGACACCGCTTCCTGCAGCCACCGTTGATAGCGTCCTTGTTTCTGCATCAAAACCGTACAGTTTCACCCTGATTTAGCCCGTTTTCGCCAGCTACACCGCCACTCAGCAGCCACAACCTGCACAACCAGTCCGTGCCGGGACGGAGAGAAAGGTGATCATGTTGTTGGGATCTTAGGGCGCATCGATGCTAAGGTCATGTTGCGCCCACAGAGAGAAAGGATACGTAGAAGAAGGCCCGGCGCGTGTCGCCAAAGTGAGCCGGCCGGCGCGCCTCGTTCTTCCGCAGCGGGTCGTCGAAGGACAGCTTTGCCAGCTGGAAAGACGACAGCGCCGGTAGTCCGGGGCCGCTGCTGAGGCGAGCGAGCCGCCCAGCCAGGGTGGCGCTGGACCCGGTCCAGGGAGGGCGGCTACAGCACCAGACCGTCATGTCTGGATGGAGACACGGGGCGACCGCGGCGGCGAGAGGGGAGGGGGAATACAGACAAACCAGCGGAACCCATGCGCCCATGAACCCATCACATGAGACCACAACAGGCAGGGTGGGCAGGGGGCGCTGATACTCAAGTCGTCACCAGCCAGGCTGCACTGATGATGCACGTGTCGTGACATTGCGAGATAGTTCGTTGCGATCCCCACTCACACAGCACTCGTCCACCATCGCTATCGAACGCCGCCCGGGTTCTGGCTCGGCAATGCGTACCAGTCCAATCCCATGAGTTCAGGGGCTGGGAGGCTGGGGCTGACCTGTTTCTGCTCGGCCGTGTGCTCCAGTCTGGTCCATGAGTACAGGTGGAGCGCCAGCAGCGGCAGGAAGAAGGCCTCCTGCCCGAGGCTGAGCAGCAGGAAGGGCACCAGCAGCGCGGCAGTGACGTGCAGCATGCGCGCCAGCAGCCACGTGGACGTCAGGCAGGGCAACAGCCAGGAGACGACTGCCAGTCAGGGCCGAGCCGTCACTTCAAACCCGGTACAGTGTCGGGAGCACGTGGGATGAGGGAGTGCTCGGGAGACACGGGACGAGGCAGTGCTCACTTCAGAACATTCAGCGTACGTAACAAACACCGTACAGCGCGGCAACTTGATATTCCCAGGAAATTAAAAGCAAAGCAATGCATGTCACAGTCAAAAGGCAGCCAGTAGAGCAGAGGGGTTATGAGTACGTACCCAGCATAGCCCAGGCGGCCCAGTGGATGTACTGTGGCACGGTGGCGCCACCCTGCACGGCTGCCTCCACCGCGTGGGTCACTCCGGCAACCGCCGCCAAGAGCGCCACCTGCAGCAGCAGGATCAGCCGCGAGTGGAGCGGCTCGCGCAGCCGGTCCGCCGGCCGGAACAGGCGCAGCTCTCCCCTGCCGGACACACCAGAGACGGCACAGACCTCACACAAGGGAACAGGTGCAGCTCTTCCCTGCCACACACACTACAGAGACGGTACAGACCTCACACAGGGGAACAGGCACAGCTCTCCCCCGCCGGACACACCACAGAGACGGTACAGATCTCACACAGGGGAACAGGCGCAGCTCTCCCCTGCCGGACACACCACTGGGACGGTACAGACCTCCCAAAGGGGAACAGGTGCAGTTCTCCCAACATCTCTGACTCACGAGAGGGCCGCGAGCGACACCGCCGCGCAGGACAGCAGGGCCGCCGCCTTCCTGAAAACCAGAGAGAAGGCGGCGTCATGTCGGACCCAGGCAAACGTCACAAACCCAGTCAGACCCACATGCAGATCCCACCGGCGTAGCCCCACAGCCGACCCCGCTGATGCGTTGTAATGACATCACGGCATAATTAGCTATGCTTGAAGCCCGGCAACTAAATTGGCATCATACAGCAGCTGGAAGAATATAACGTTTAAATATGGGCCGAAGCTGAAAGTAGTAAGTATTTGCAGCTAGTCGGAGATGGCCGGCCACTTCACTGCAGACTGTACTTTGTCAACGTAAGACATCCAGCACTTAAACTGCCAAACGCACGGAAGTTGTGACTCTGTGCCAAAAACTTAACTGCATCCGCAACGATGGTTCGGCAACGCGTACATTAACACCGTTGCCTGCTGACTTCAGTGGTTAAAACTGTGCTGAAACGCGCCCCAATCGGCCGGCGCGCGCTCAGAGGCCGTCGTCAGACGCGTGGACTCACACCAGCGTGTAGTTGGCCTGGTGCGTGATGACCGGACTGAGAGGGAAGGCGGCCAGCAACAGGGAAGAGGCGGTCCAGAGCAGCGTCAGCCGCTTCCTGTAGCGGGGCAGCGTCAGCGGCCACGGCAGCAGCGCCGCCAGCAGCACCGACAGCACCCAGCGCCGGAAGAACGACACCACCTGGCGGCCGCCAGCGATAGCAGCGTCAAGCATCTCCTCGCTGGCAAGGCGCTCACGATGACAGAAGGCAGGCTGGAAATATCAGCAGAAACTGGGCAAAACACGCATGATGCGTTCGTGGGTCGCAGATAAATGAGCAAACCATTTCACCGCACTCGAATAAGCATTAATGCATTATAACTCTGCCTTGGTTACCCTCAAACGCGGAACCCATGAAAAACGCACTTGATAAAGCATTAAATCGACACCAAACCCTTCGTAACGCTGTGTAACGATAACACAGCGGTAACGTTAGCGGCCCAGTGGCCCAGTTGTGAGACGCGCAGCGTAGTGATCAAGCTGGGACATAATACGGCCTGACAGATATGATAGCGGCGTCAACGACAGCGGCCCAGCTCCGACTTAAGCCTGTCAGAGGTCCGGCTGTGACGTCAGCGGCCCGACCGTGGCGTCAGCGGCGCGGCGGTGAGGGCAGCCCGGCAGCGTGTCCCGGTTACCAGGAGCTCAATGCCGAGCAGGACGGCGGCGTGCTGCAGCAGGGTGCGGCTGTCGGCGGCCGCCGCGCGCGCCGCCCCCAGGCCCCGGCCGTCGTACGCCAGCACCGACCAGATCAGCACCGGCAGCAGCAGGTACACGGCATAGTGGGCCGGCAGAGACTTGGCTGTGGTTCATCAGGTTTCGGGTCATCATCGCACTGGCGCCGTACGACCAACATAATGAATGGTAGGGCGCCCAACATGAGATAACTATCATGGACATTTCATTAGGTCATTTGCGCGCTGAAAAAAACTTGACAGGACTACTTGAAGCTATACATATTGCCTGTACCTACCTTTGATATATTACTGAAGGACCCAAAGTAGGTTGCGAGAAGGCAGGACAATTTTCCCCGTTCTCTTTCTCATCCAAAAAAGAATACGAGCTAGGGCCCGTCAATGGATGCAAGATCCTGTCACCTCCCCCATGTCATAGTTGTCCTACGGTGCTACCACATCTAAGCTCCGGGCAGTCTGTCGTCCCGGCGCCTGTCCCCTGGTCCCGGCGCACTCGGTGCAGCGGAGGCCGTAGACGCGCTCCGCCAGCCTGACCCACTCTCCGCAGCCCGGGTCTCTCGCGACGCCGCCGCACGCTGCCGCACTCACCGACGATCAGGAACACGGCCAGACTGGTGCCGGAGACGGCCAGAAGAAGGGTGGCAGCGCCGCCGGCCGCCGGCTCGTCCGGCGCCACCGAGCGTCCGCTCGTCTGCAGAGCAAACGAGCCGAGCTCAGCCGCCGCGCACACGGCTCGAGCTGCCCCCCGCCGACCCTCACAAGCCGGCTGCCACAGCGAAGCCGAGTCCAGCGTACCGCTCTGGTTGTGGTTCTAGCCGTCCACCGCGCTCCACCAGTGCCGCCACTGACGCGGTCAAGCCAACTCTCCGTACGCCCTCAACCCCTCCAACGGCGATGGCGTTTCCACCCGACGCGCTTGTCGCGACTCTTTTGGGGCAGGTTGTTCCATGCAGCGCGCATTGGCAGGACCTCTCAACCACGCGCTACCCCAGCTACCACCATTTCCAGTCCCGTTTATGGCATTCGCAGCGGTAATAACGTCTTTTTTTGCATTTAATCTGAGTCTTTTGGAATGGCTGGGTTTCTGGGATCAGAGCACATGCTAAGCTGCGCTTGTTGTGCCAGCCCCGGCCGCTACCACCCGATCGTGCAATTCCAGATCAATGACAGCATTCGATGGCGAAACTTTCTGTTGCAATGCTCGATCCAGTCGCCTGCCCTCTAACGTCACCTGACCTTCCGCGGGGCCGCTGCCACCGACCACAATTCATAGCCGGTCAAGGGCAAATGGCGAGCGCCTAAAGCGATTCGACCCCCGCCACGGGCGGGTGGATCGGAAGGCAGTCGTTCTAACCAACTGAGCCATCGTGGCGGACAAAGTCCTCTGACCTTGACCAGGTGGGAGGTGAGCAGCAAGATCCAGCCGATGTAGCAGAGCGTGATGGCCGCCTGCAGCATGGGCCGGTCGTAGGTGTGGTAGTACTGCATGCCCTCCAGCGCCAGGTCCATCAGCTCACCAATCAAGAACATCTGAGCACGTGCACCACACGCCGTGTGAATATGCCTGACGACACAGACTTAGTCTTGCGTCGGCAGACATCTGACCGTCCACAAAAGCCTGGTCACGCAAATAAAAAATGGCACACACACACACACGCACAAGGAACTGCATACAGACCACTTGGGCGCAAAATGACCACTGCAGTCGACGCGCCCGAAAACTCCAATGAACAACAACAAGAACAACAAGCATACAGACCACTCATACATAGCCACTCCGTGCCACTTTTCGTAAACACCCAGAAAAGGTGCTGCATTCCAAAATGAGCCGTTATCCGAAGCGTTCTAACACCATCCACTGCCCACGTTCGCGAGCGCAAGGGGCGTTCGATCCCGCCCCGGTGCGGCCCCTACGACGTACCGCGTTGTCCCAGTCCTGTCGCTGCATGTAGTCCAGCGCCTTGTCCACCATCTGGGTCTGCACGTGCGGCGCCAGCGTGGTGTGCGGCCAGTACAGGGGGCCGAGCGTGGCGGCGCGCCGCTGCTGCCGGCGCACCTCGTACTGACACAGCAGCTGGCGGGCGTTGGTGAACAGCAGGTCGGCGCTCTGTTCGGGCCGCACTCCCAGCACGTCCGCCGGCATCCGGCCCTGCGCCGCACGGACAGCGGGTAACGCCGACCGCAGCAGACCAGGCCAGCTGACAGCGGGTAACGCCGACCGCGGCAGACCAGGCCGGCTGACAGCGGGTTACGCCGACCGCGGCAGACCAGGCCAGCTGACAGCGGGTAACGCCGACAGCGGCAGACCAGGCCAGCGGGACAGCGGGTAACGCCGACCGCGGCAGACCAGGCCAGCTGACAGCGGGTAACGCCGACAGCGGCAGACCAGGCCAGCGGGACAGCGGGTAATGCCGACCGCGGCAGACCAGGCCAGCGGGACAGCGCGTAACGTCGACAGCGGCAGACCAGGCCAGCGGAGAGCACCGTCAGCGGCAGTGACGGCAAAGCGTGGCCGGTCAGCAGGCAGCGTGGTCAGGCAGTGGCGGCACAAGAAGGCAAGGACCTGGGGTCCTCAGCCGCAAATCCCTGCCCAAATGGAAGTCAGACTGTTCTTAGACTTCCTTGACAAACTGACTTACCCTACCACATGTCCAAATGCACTTGTTCAGTCATACTTTGCATGCCCCCGTCCCATCCTCAACAAGAGAACACACGGCAAGCGTTACATCACATGTGAGCGCGGCCAGACGGCAAACGGTGTGCCCCCCCCCCCCCCCGTCCCACTGAAAGCCCGGGTGAGAGGCCTTCCTCGAACTGACGCCTCACAGCCTGACCCACCACGCCACTGCGAGCGGGCCGGCGCGGCGGCGGCGCCTACACCCACCACAGAGTTGACGGGGATGCTGAGGCCGGTCAGGCTGGCCATGAGCGGCGCCAGGTCTGCCTGCGCCACGTCCGTCCTGCGCAGCTCGTGCAGCGGCAGGCCGGCGGCGGCGGCGGCGGCGGCGGCGGCGGCGTCAGCGGCGGCAGGCCGCGGGCCGCGTACGCCAGCGCCCCAGGCCACCAGCGGCGTCTCTGTCTCGGACGGGTCGCCGGCGCCGTGAGAGCCTGCCCGGCAAAGGCGACTCCAGCTGCCGATCCGAGGGGCGTCCATGAGCGGCTTCAGTCGGACCTCAGCAGGGGTGGCCACAAGGGCGAGACGGTGACTCGAGTCACGTAAAAAGGGGGAAGCACTCCGCGGCACATTACCCCGTCTTATCTCAAGTGTCCACGGCATCGACGTTGTGAGACACTGCCGAAGACATTATGTCTTCAGCTCAACTAGCGCAAGGAAGGCTGCACAGAATCCAAAACAGTACGCCACAGATGCACTGCTGACGATACAGCTGCCGCTCCAGTCTAGCTTATTTTTACGGCGCTGTGAAACTGAACCAGAGAGGAGGCTGCACCCCGTTCACTTGCGCAGCCCGACTCGTCGACGTCTGGAGTTCACTGACCCCAGTCAGTCATGCCGTGGTCGGACGTGAAGACAAACAGGGTGCGGCTGTCGTTGTAGTACTCCGAGATCTGGCTCACGATCTTCTCCACCCCTTCGTCCACGAACCGGATGTTGTCAGCGTATTGGCTGCGGCAGACGACACTCACTGGGTGGTCCCTGCATACGTATCTAAAGCCGATTTCGTGGCCGGAGAGCTGTTCAAGTGAACCCCTTCATCATTGCGATACCTGATACCATCCGGCGTGTTGAGGACCGAGCTCACAGATAAGGCAATACGCCGCGGTGTCGTCCTATGTAGATTCAGGGGTTGTCGCGCCGCCGTTTCTAAGCGCCGCGATGGACATCGTCTCGCCCAAACGCCGGGGCTCTCACAGAAACACACGCTTCAAAACGAGCTGCGACGAGGCGCACATAATGTCTTACATGTCGTAGCACATGACACAATCCGCATGCATCAAGTTCCTCGCAACGGCACTTAATAACTATCATAAGCGATCTTGGGTTTTCAATCATGCCACCTGGCCCGTTTGCCCCGCACCTGCATCTTGAGTCGCGGCCGCATCCAGAGCGACAGTCCGTCTTTACTATATCAGCACATGCGGGACGGACTCGGGATCCGTGTTCATGTCGTGGGCGGTAGTCGACTTGTACCACGTCAGCCTGTACCTGGACTCGGGATCCGTGTCCATGTCGTGGGCGGAAGTCGGCCTGTACCGGGCCAGTTTGTACCTGGACTCGGGGTCCGTGTCCATGTCGTGGGCGGAAGTCGGCCTGTACCGGGCCAGTTTGTACCTAGACTCAGGTCCGTGTCCATGTCGTGGGCGGAAGTCGGCCTGTACCGGGCCAGTTTGTACCTGGACTCGGGGTCCGTGTCCATGTCGTGGGAGGAAGTCGGCCGGTGCAGGGCCAGTTTGTACCTGGCCTCGCGCTATGTCCATAACGCGTGTCTGTCCAACCGACCGGCACCTGAACAAGAGTCTGCGTCCAAACTCCAGGCGGTCGTCTGTCCGCACCACGCCAGGCCGTACCTGGACTGGGGCTTGTGGCCGTGGCCGGTGGTGTCCAGGCCCAGCAGGTGCAGGAACAACACCACACCCTGCTGGCGCAGCCGGGCGTCCGAGGTCGGGTCACGAGCCGCCGCCGCCAGGAACGCCGACACGCGGTCGAACACCCAAGCGTCCAGGTCGGAGGCACGGCCGCGGGCGAAGTCCTGCTCCTCGGCCGCGTACGTGAACGTGTCCACCTTGCCGGGAGTAGCCCCTGATGCAACAACGTCCGAGGTCAAGCGGAGAAATGAAATACAGTGCCACATGCGGGCAGCAGCTGCATTGTCCACCTGCCAAGCCACGACTGTCCACACGATTGTAAGCGTAATGCGTTTGGCAAGGTTAACAACTTGTGTAATGCAACTGACTCCAATAGAATACGACAGACCGATCGACAATGGCAATGCTGCAAATGAATCACAAATACAGATAATTTGCCGGATAAACTATCTGCAGTTTCACTTCGCATCAGTCGTGACGGTCAGCGCCCAACGCAACTGACCTGAACTGAACTCGAACTCGACTCGACTCGACTCGACTCAACTCGACTCGACTCGACTCGACTCGACTCGGCCCGACCCGACCCGATCCGATCCGATCCGATCCGATCCGATCCGATCCGATCCGACCCGATCCGATCCGACCCGACCCGACCCGACCCGACCCGACCCGAACCGACTCACCCCGGGCCAACATGGGCACGATGTCGGGGCTGCCCCAGGCCCACGTATGCGAGCTCTGGTTGAACACCGTGTCGAACGGCACGGGGTTCTCGCGCCAGCCGCGCGTCACAGCGCTCGGGTCCTCGTACACGCCGGCCACCAGCGCCACGTGGCCCGGCCGAGACTCAGTCGGCACGCGCGTGTGGGACACGCCCCAGACGCCGCGTTCGCGCGCCACCGAGCTGCGGTGGGGGGGGGGGGGGGGGGGGGGGCGTCAGGGGAGCCGGCGACCGGCAGGTGTGACGTCACAGTAACGGGGCCGTGGATGTACGGCGACACAGCAACAGACGGGGAGGTATGACGCCACGGTAACAGGCGGGGGGTGTGACGGACCACCAACAACCGTGGAATTGTGTGACGTCCTGGCGACATACAGGCCACGCGCCATGTTGGAACGTCTGTCACCATAGCTGTGGACAAGGCGACAAAGGGACGGCATGCCCCTTGGATGTTCATGTGGATATAACAGCGGATATATAGCACGTAATGTGCGCACAAATAGCATCTGTTCACAAGAAGGGTAACTGAGGCAAATGTTGACACACCCGATATACAGCGGATATATAGCACGTAATGTGCGCACAAATAGCATCTGTTCACAAGAAGGGTAATTGAGGTAAATGTTGACATGCTGTAAATGAGGTGACAAGCTGTGCCGCACCTGATGGTTCACTACCAGAGACGGAGCTGAACCACCTGGCCATAGCAGCCCATAGCAGCCCTGACCTGAGGAAAGGCGCCATGGGCCTGCCATCAGAGCTCCGACCTGAGGAAATGTGCTATAGGCCTACAATCGCCTGCTCCGACCTGAGGAAGGGCGCCATAGGCCGGCCGTCCGCGGCGCGCGCGTAGAAGCGGTCGGCGCGCAGTCCATCGGCAGAGATGAGCACCAGGCGGCGGGCAGGTGGCGGCTGCAGCGGCTGCTGGGGCGTCATGCCGTGCACTAGTGGCGACGTGAAGTAGATGTCGAACACGGAGGCCAGGAACACCAGGTGTGTCAGCAGACCCAGCACCAGCAGCAGACCAGACATGGCTGCACCTGCCTAACAATGGCATGGTCTCAGGCACAGGTGCTAAATGGTGTGACTTGCTTGTGACATGGCTACACCTGACTAACAGAAGCATGGTCTCAGGCACAGGTGCTGGATGGTGTGACTTGCTTGTGACATGGCTGCACCTAACAGTGGCATGGTCTCAGGCACAGGTGTTAAATGGTGTGACTTGCTTGTGACATGGCTGCCCCTGACTAACAGTAGCATTGGCATGGTCTCAGGCACAAGTGCCAAATGGTGTGACTTGCTTGTGACATGGCTACACCTAACAGCGGCATGGTCTCAGGCACAGGTGTTAGATGGTGTGACTTGCTTGTGACATGGCTGCACCTGACTTACAGTGGAATGGTCTCAGGCACAGGTGCTAAATGGTGTGACTTGCTTGGGGTTTGCAGCTTAGATATGAAGACCATGTGGCTGAGGATCACTGACATAAAATTGGCTAGATCACACAAAACTTATGTGCCCATAAAAATGGAGACACTTAAATCCTGATGTGTTTTGCATGTGATTGTGCATCTTTATTGTATCTGTTGCAGAAGTTACCTGTGAGAATAACATGAACCTGTAAAAATCCATCCATAAACACCTGCACATTCCCACATGCAGCAATTGTGCTATTCAACACTTAAACAATTGTAACTTTTGCTCCATTGGTGAAAGCATCAAAATACATCAAAACTGCACAAGCTTATAAAACAATTCATCTAATTAGGAATCAAACATATCAATATTTACAAACAACCCTGTTTTAAAATCTTCTGTTTTTACACATAACTATTTTAGCATGTCTATAAAAATATGGAGTCTACTATGAGCAATTCTGATTACTGGTCAAGATTGAAGCATAGGAAAATAAACTTCATGTGAATTCAACAACAACTCAACAGCAGCTGGAACCTAGACCTATGAGCCCATCACAAATGGTTGAGGAATTCACTTCAGCCATTGTTTCAATAAGGGGATGCTGCTGAAATATCAACCCATCTATTTCTCCATTCTCCTGTTTTTTCCAAAGAATAAGGCTATTACTACTGTCTTATCTATGTGACTAATGCTCCTTGCAAATATACCTAACAATTTGCATAGTAGGTATATGGGTTGCTTGAATAGGGACACACCAACCATCTGACCCTTGATAAAGCAATAGTTTTTTAATCTGAAAGCAAACTTCAGATTAACTTCAGAAGGTCCATGACTCAACAATCCAAGCATGATGCATGCAATCCTGTCTGCAAAAATATCAACTGTGCACAATGGCCATGCAATAGATGTACTAAACTTTGCTAAATATTGTACTTAAAATATTTAATAGTTAAGGGATATCATCCTGGAACATGTCATCATTCAACACCATTGCCTCATACCAGGAGGACTGAAGGACAGCTTCAAGGAATGTACCCTTCTTGTTGCTGCTGGTGTTTCTTTTACATGTCCAGGTGGACATGGTTCATACAAACCAATGAAATCCACAGCACAGGGAAAATGGAGCCCCACTTACAACAGTTCCCAAGGACATGGTCATTCATCACACTGTATCTATTCAATTTTGAATTTTTTGTGGTTTCGATGGAAGCTAACCGTATATTTTCGTAAGCTGCAGAAGGCCAGCAGATCAAGATGCGACGTTCATTGCAGAAACACGACACACTTGAGAGCCCTTGCCGGCGTGACCAGGATTACAAGAGCAAGACTGACGTATCTACAGAAGTGCTTAGTTACTCACTACGTTGTTCATATACCTAACCAATAAACAAAGCGACAGTTTCGACATCAACCAAAAGAAAACCGCCACACGGGTTTTACCAGCCGCCTGTGCCGGGTATCACTTGTAGCTTATCGTTGAGATGATCCCCTGTTGTTGTCGAAGCTGCGTTATATTTGTATACTAAAAAAGCTACCAAATAGGAAAACACGGACGCCATATCCTGAAGAATATTTAGTACGTATTCTTGCTAGGAGGGGGACCGTGTTTAGTGCCAATTCGTTCAAAAATTGGCGAGGTTTAGTATGCATGCATACGAAGCAACACGCCCAGTAACCCAAGGGTCAGCCAAGGCCATGTAATAAGGTATGATTATCCGGGGATTTTTCCGGCACTTTTCCTTCACTATTACCGTGACGTCACAAAGTCACAGCCTGGCATCACAACTCCGCCTGCATTATCTTCGCGTCTGCTTCACCGGTGCATCTACTAACAAATGCATCTGCTGATCGCCACAGGGCGCTTCAAGAAGTACAATGAGGAAATATGAAAGGGGGATTTTTTGCCACGCTGGGTGCATAACAGCGAGCATAGGCTTGGGAACCGGGAGCCTGTGTGCCATGGCACTCCTCTTGCTGAGGATGCCAAATTTTGAGTCCATGGTGATGTATTGAAGTTGGCCAGCCTACAGCTGCTTAAATGCACGTTGGCGAGCCTGCCCAAGGTTAATCCACTGCCAAAGGAGGAACTGACCGGCACCAGGATCATTATACGAACTGTCGCGCTGAGCCTCAGCGCCACACATCATGACGCACCGGGCTGCACTGGCGTGTGATGGAGGCAGTTTGAGGCGTCGGAAGTGGTGTGCTGCCTGGTAGAACAAAGAAAATTGTGGGCATTGCACATTGTATCAACCATGACCCGAAGCCTCCGAAGTCGTGGCGCGTGGCGTTAATTAAGAAAATATCCGTCACACCATGCGCCCAGTTCGAGTGTGCGAGAACGTTAACAGAAAGAACCTCGATAGGCGTGAAGAGTCCTCTGCAAATGAGATAAAAGGGAAAGATCCTTTGATGGAGGTAGAGAACCCTTCAACATCGAGTGTCTCGACGCCTTACGTTATAAGGGCCCCAGCAACAGCACGAGTCCCTCCAAGTAAATGGATGATGATGATGATAATGATGATTTGGGGTTTTAGGGCGCATCGACTGCTGTAGGTCATGCAGCGCCCTCCAAGTAAGTGGAAAGAACAGGAGACTAATATGAAGGGCCCCTGAGCAATTCAGTGTGCCCTGGCATATGGGGCCCCAGAAAAGCGTATAAAGCATTTTGGGCGAATGGGAGCAATCCATGGAGGAAAACCCGACCGATCAAGAGCACCCAGGAGTGGAAACAGATAGCGTCCCAACAGCAGCGTTGGGCCTTACGAGGAAATGCAAAGAGATCAAAGGTAGCGTGGAAAGCTCCTTAGCGATCAGATTGACCCGGCAAGTGGACACATAGGGCCCGGGCAGCGGCGTAAGACCTCTGGACAGCGTAATGAGCCCCCAAATTCCCCCTCTCAAGTAACACCTTTTCAATCGGGTAACTTCGTCTGCTCATAAGCTCTCTACTTTTGCTAGCCATTGTTCTTAGGCGTCCATAGCTCCAAAGACGTCCAATTTTGCTGTGAGAAAATACGTCTTTTCGGCCGGTTGTGGGTCTCTTCGGAGCCTTTAGGTCCTCTCGGTATAGGACACGGGACATGACCCCATGCTCCCACCCCCTTGGCTTCCGTCACCGGCCCGAGCAGCTTAATAGATGGGGCCCGCCAAGAACATGGGGCCATCCATTCAAAGAGGAAATACTGACAACGAAATATGTACGACTACCAACGATCGAGTGTGCCCAAGCAGTTTAAAATATAGGGCCCCTTCAATAGCGTAGGGCTCTCCATTTAAATAGGAAGTACCCAGGATCCCAAGTGGAGATCCCCCGAATGATCGAGTGTGCCAGAACAGGTTAACAGATAGGGCTCCCAACAAGAGGGTAAGGCCCTCCACTCAAACAGAAAGCACCCAAGATGCTTTGGGAATGTCGACTCGAACGATGGAATGTGCCCGAGCAGGTTATCAAAAGGGGCCCGACAAGAGCGTAGGGCCTTCCATTCAAATAAGAAGTGCCAAAACCCAGTGCGGAGGGCCCCCGAAAAATGAAGGGTACCCGACCAGCTTAGCATATGGCCCCAACAGGGGTGTAGGGCCCTAAATTCAAACGCCAAGACCCAATATACAGGGCCCCCGAACAATCCGGTGTGGTCGATGTGTAGGGCCCCATTCAAATAGCAAGTGCCCAAGGCCCAATGTAGAGGACCCCGAACGATCGAATGTAGCCGAGCAGGTTATCAGATACCCCCCCCCCCCCTCCCCACAAGAGCAAAGGGCCCCCTCCCATCCAGAAACTAAGTACCCAACACCCAGTGTGGAGGGTCCCCGAACGACTCAGTGTGCCCAAGCAGGCCACCAGATGGGCCCCCAACAAGAGTGTAGGGCCTTAAGCAAGTGGCAGACAATAGGAAATACTCTAGACCAATGTAGAGGGCCATGAGCAAATCACGTGTCGGTAGGTTGACCGAGGCCCGCGTAAAAGGACATTAAGAAGCCGAAAATACCCCGGCTTTGGCTCACAGAGCCTTTCTGGCGACTGGAAACAATCCGTGGAATGGCCCGTGATGGACAAGAATGCCCCGACATGCTAACATGAAGGGCCTCAACAACCTCACAACGACCCTTTGAGCAAATGCAAAGAAATGAAGAGCAACGTGGAATGCTCCTTAACCTTGAAATGATCCTGCAAGTGGACGTATAGTCCCCCGGAAACAGCATGGGGCCCTAGACAATGTAATGGGGCTCAAAATTCCTAGTTCACAGCTTTTTTAATCATTACATAATTTTTTGAGTTGTCATAGGCCGTTCACTTTCGCTCACAACTGTTTTAGGCCGCCTAGAAGTCCAGAGATCCCCAGTTTTGTTGCGTTTTGTGTTCGAAAAAACTACTCCTGTTCGCCCGGCTATGGGCCTGCTCGGAGCCAATGAGCCCCTTCAGGGCCCAAGGGGGGAGGCCATGGCCCCATCCCCCCATCTGGATCCGTCCCTGGATACAAACTGCATTGCCATCCCCCCCTTTACCAAGAGTTTTACTTCCTACAGCAGGTGGTTTTATGGTATTGTGGCCCAACTCTCGTATGAGGTCAGTGAAAGGTTGGCATTTAGTTGTCTGTGAGGATATTGTTGGCTATTTCATGATGATGGCACCCGTACTGTAACAGGAAAGCTCTGGAAACGATTCATTCTGCAGCGCTCATTCATTTGCATATTTTCTTTGCACTTGTGGGCATGGCATTGCATGGAGACAAATGTGGTATGTTTCATTGCTATTTTTGCCAACATTGAATTGTAAAGTTATCATGATAGAACCATTAGCATAATCACTGCACACATTTAAGTACAGGTTGTAAAGGCGGACAGTCTACCATATATACCGCTTACATTGATAGCAGAAATCAATATAAGTTGTGTGGTGATGGTATAATGACAGCAGTGCTAATTTTTACGCGTGATGAGAGGTAGATAGCAGCCCATGGATCATGGAAAATAACTAAGTCCAGATGAGGTGGTCCTGTGTTATCGTGAGCTTGTATCTCATCTTTTTGTAATTTTCGAGCTAGAAATGCTGGCTGGAAGGGGAGTCAGCACTGAAGGGGGCCCAACCCAACATAGATATTTGGTAGTGCTCCAGAAATCAATATTCGAATTGATGCTCCTGCATTATGCATGCCAAACATTGCTGTTAACCAGATAATTATTTTATATTTGCATGTTACTTGCATGCATATGGCAATTTTTGGCTTCCTTATTGAATTTCTACCAATGTTTTGATGTTGATAATGAAACGTGCCATTTTCCAGTAGCGGCTGACGTTTTCATGATCTGAAATGCAGATGATGGGGCGGGTGTTTTCCTTGACGTTGGCAAACTAAGAAAGGGAAAGCCTCGCAAAAAAACAAACAAACCGTGAACTGTCTTAAGTGAGATATCGTGATTGGTAAGAAGTTTCCTGCTGTTAACTGACCCCACTAGACCAAGTCGAAGGTCAAGATTCCTGAAAACCAAACATCAGCTCTGCATGTTCATATACCTAAAAGCATGCAATGATGTGACATGGAACATAAGGAGGTGTGTCCCTTGTTTAATCATGAGCACAATGGCTTGTAGTTTTATTTGTCTGGAGCCTATATTCATGAGGTAGGGTTTCTTTCATGTAACAGTGCCAGCCCTCCGCGCGCTGTTCGCGAATCGTCGCTTGCCCCCTGCCGCACCCGCCGGCCTTAAATCGTCTTGCAATGATTGCAAAAAACATCGCTACCCTAAAACCAGAGTTGCTAGGGGCACTTTTTTGTTGTCAACACGCGCACAATGGACGCCCAGAGGCCACCAAAGATTTTAGCGAGACTGCACAATATGCCGGATTGGTATCCTCAGAAAACCGAAGGGGAGTTGTATCGCCCCCTCCCCCCCCCGTCATGGCGAGTAACTTGTTCAGAAAGAGCTATCAGCCTAATGTGAAGTTTTGGAAGAAGTCCGTGCAATTTACTTCTTGGGGCATGGCGGAAGGCGCCCACCAGTCAAAACATGTCGCGCCAGGCTTGGAGCATGCCTAAAGTATGGTGGATAGTTTGGTGACGGTTGAAATGGGGTTCGAGGCGCTCCTTATATTTGCATGACGGGGCATGGCTTCGTGGAGACCCCCCATATTCGACGTCATTCCATACGCCGCTTGCTGCTGTTTCGGAATCTGCAATGCATTTTGCTGCCCTGGCTATCGAGGTCCCTCGTTTTTTTGGGAGGGGGAGGGGTCGAGAAAAGCAAATCCAGCCGTAGATCGAGTTTAAACGTGAGGCCTCTTAGTTCCGAAGGTGGAAGAAAACTCCTGTTGGGATTGGGCTACCTCGTCAGTCTAAGGCACGTACCCCTGCTTTCCTAGCAGCGGCACATATCCTGACATTTGTTCAAGGGCAGTGCATGACTGGACGTCTCA